AGGGAGTATTTAATGGTGACGCAAGGAGACGCTTGCTCCTTATTCTTCGTTATTACTCGGGAGTGTTTTCAGGGCCAAATACGAATGCATGAATAGCAGATCAAATTTAGTGCTTCAGCCGGACAAGACGAGACATGACAGCGAAGACAAGCAGGGCAAACACATCGCTGGAGTACGAGCTGGCGACTGCCTGGTAGGTGGTGAACTACCGCCCAAGTACAAAGCTCGCAAGCCGCGTCGCACGCAAGCAAGGGACAAGAAAAGAGACAAGAAGCAATGCAATGCTACCCTCCACCTGTTGCCAAGGGGGTGCTAACACTAACGGGGAGAACGCGGAGGCAGCTCCGTGGCTGGGCTATTGGCTAGCCTCTATGCTTTTTCAGGACCCTCGCTGTTTTCTCTCTTACAAGTGTTTTCGCCCCGCCTGGCCCTGTTTTGTTTTCTGACAAGGGACAGGGGGGTTCCAAGGAGAGGAGAGAAACAGGGTACAGGGGCTTTGGCGTTACATGGCAGTGAGGGAAGAGCAACATACCGTAAACGAAATAGATTAGCCCGTTATTAATATGTACTTGAGTGTTAATGACACAACATTTTCGACGGTGACATATTGGGGGCTTGAATGGGGTTGATCTTGTCTTTGCTTTTCTGCCTCCTTTTTTTTTTTTTAGCGTATGCGTACCTTTGCCGGGGGTTCATCGCCAAGAATACGGACATGGCCCTCTGTCAATGCGTATATGTATGATTTGTTTGTTTTTTGTTTCGGTAAACACTGGTTGGTTGCAGATCTCATTGGACACCAAAAGGAGATGGTTGCTTTTCAGCTGCTTACGGCCACGGCCTACTGCAGTGTATAGCCTATCTAGTACCGACTTCAGTTACTTGTAGTTATTCACTCTTACAGCGGCGATGAATATGAGAGTAGTTTCACTGGTAACCCCTCATATACAAGAACTACCAATCACGTATCTACTTACAAATCCATCTTTGACCAGGCTTTCATGGGCTGTGCTTGCACACCGCAATCATGCAAGGAAAAAGTCAGACCGTGACAAGGTCCCAGGTTTCGGGTTAAAATCCGTCATCGGGATTCCGGGGCAAGGCCTGCTTCTACCCATCGCGAGCTTACTTGTACGTACATACGAGCGTAACTCGCTTTCCTGAATCTCTCCGATTTCCGACATCCGCGGAACATGCGGAGCAACTCTCAACTCCTCCAGTCTTGTGGCAGTGAAACCATCTTTTTTAAGTCGCTCAAAGAGAGACACGCGGTTGCTTTTTTCCACCCATCTTAAGTTGTCGTCGTGTGTAAAGGTGTCGTTGCAATGACTTGCTAGTTCCCAAACTATCTAATTAAGCATGCAGCTCGAAAGTAAGGCGAGACGGGCCAGACCGCTCGATTTATACTGCTTAAGGAATGTTAGTTTTATACTACGCACATTGTTAGATCTAGGCTTTATGATTAGTTTACCGGCAAAGCATCGTAAGGCAAAGTGATATACGACAACTTGATACTGTGCAGTAGCAGCACCACCGTCTTCGTCCTTCGGTTCACTTACGCGAGCTGCATGGCCAAGACCCTTTTTTCTTAGTGCAACATGTTTGCTAATACGACTTTGTTATACCGATTTCATTGCCCCCACTGAGAAACATTTTTGAGCAACTACTGCAAGTTACAGTAGCATTGGCGACTGGGAAAGGGGGGGGCGTGAACTCAAACGATCGAAGGTGCCGTGATGATAGCACATGATATACCTATCTAGCAGCTGTGTTCCGTAAAAATAGCCCGTTAGGACTTGGCTGATGGACATGACATGGTTGGGCCTTGCCTTACCGATGCACCAACTGCCCTTCTAGCACTTACAAATGTCACTGTCCTAATGCAAGAAGACACGCTTGTTGGCTGTTTGGTTCAGGCATAGTTAGCTCTATGCAATGATATCTTAGGTCCAGCGGGCTCGGGTTATGGGACCCGGCTGCCGTAGAATCCTGTCGTTTTCCCGGTCTTCTGTTTACCCCCTACCTTTTACAAAAAGCTAAAGCACCTTTCTAGGCAGTATGGAGTAAAACGCCTTCTTGTTCGTTAATGTAGCTGTAGTAGTACCTGTATCCGAACACCAAAAACATTGTAGGTGTAGTATTAGGTATATCAAGCAAGCAGCTGAGCCATATTATCCCAAGCTTTAATGAACAACTCCTCATTGTCCATATTGCTCCGTACATGTATACAGCTACATACATACTACACCCCAGATAGCAGTACTGACCCTCTTCCGGAGCAAAACAACGTCCAGCCTCTTCCTTTTCTTCAGCTTCTCAACTTTCTCCCCCCTTTTCCCTCTCTCTTTCTATGTTTAGCCATCATGTAGGCATCTCAGCCATCAGCCCCCCTAGCCAGCTGAACACACTGTTCGTCCTCCAATCCCAATCTGCCATGGACCTAGTCCACACACACTTTGCCCGCATCAACTCAGACATACAGCATTAGTGCTGTATACTACTTGTACACGGGGATATACTTGTACATGCATGTGCTCCTATCCATGCCAACTCAAACCTGCTCATCTACCTAGCTTTGCTTTGGACATGTCATCTGTATCTACTACCTGTTCGTCTCGTTTTGATACTACTCTTTGCTGTGTACATCTACGTACATCCACGTATAAGAAGAAGAACCCCCCCCCCCCCCCCTCCCCACCAAACAGGCTAGCCTAGATTACACTTCCCTCGCATCAACAAAACATGACACATCACTTTTCTCTCTCTCTCCAATACTTTTCAAATCCGGCTGCCTGATCCATCTCCATGACGTACAAAGTAGATACCTACCCGCAGCCCAACCAAATACTACCGGAGTACTACTAGTAGCTCCAAACCCAGCAAGGGGTGCGAAGAAAATAGTAGAGTAGTAGTAGTAGTAGTTACTAGCAGCAGTAGCAGTAGTAGCAGCAGCAGCAGCAGTAGCAGCAGTAGCAGCAGTAGCAGCAGCAGTAAGTATTCTAACTTTGGTGTTATTGTTAACAAATGTGTGCTGATTGTTTAATAATTCCCTCTTTTTCTTCGCACCCCTTGCCTAGCAAGTATCCTGTCCCCATAATCAAGTTCCCCCCCCCCCAAAAGAAGATCCTCCCCGCCACTTTATGAACCCATGAGCCAACGGCTTGTTTCCTCCCCCAATGCTCTCCAAAATAAATTAAGGGTTTCAAACTTTCAGGCACTTGTATCATATCATAATCGTGCCACATCATATCACATCACTTTTTTCATCCCCATCGCTTCCGTTCCCGTCTCTTTTTGCCTTCCCGCCGATCTGATCCCCGGACGAGGTGGGAACTAACACTAGTTTAAGAAGTGCTTCGTGAGAACTTTGCTCTCCCATGCCAAATCTAACTGTAGGCTTCTTTTTGGTAGAAGTACTCGCTTGTACCGTTCCTAGTATTACTCGCGGCCATCAACTCGGCACTTCTCCGTGATGCCCGTGCCTTATACTTGTATGCAAGTAGTATATGTAAGTTTTTCAACACACCCCCTTGCGCACTACATGACTCCTTCACCTCCATCCAATTCAAAACAAAGTTCAATATTCATTCGCACGCCCCTCTTTTACATACCTAATTCGTAGCTTCAGCTGCGGCCTGACACTCCTATCTTTGTATACATTTCGGCCGCTTCAGCGTCTCAGCAGGGGCGACAGAGCTTTGCTCAATTCATTTCTTGTTGGGCGAGAAAAAAACGGGTGTCAATTACCTACATGGGTAAAACGCTTCTAGCATATACCATTGCGTATTCAAACAGGTAGGAGAGCAAAGCAAAGTAAGAAAGTAGAAATTAATATACCTGGGAAAAATAAACATTGTAATAGCTTGCTCATATATTTTACTACGCATCTTATGTAGTCGCTAAAGAAAACATTAGTTATCCCATATATCAAAAGAAAGTTCTCGCTTGGCCAGCCATCCACTTTCCTCCCCCCCTTCCGCGCCCCCATAAACCTAAGAAGACCACTCTTCTTCGCAAAAGAGACGCTGGCCAACTAACTAAGAGTCAAAAGGAAAAAAAAGTAGAAATCAAGAGAAATGAGAAAGGAAATTAAAAAAAAAAAGATAGCATCGCTTGCTTAGTTCGCTATGCCTTGTTCAGTCTACGTAATTCCTTGTAAACCACTCCAGATAAACCCCCCCACCCACAGATTTCCATCTTGCACCCACACAGACATGATTAGACGACAGAACAAATGAGATAACAATTCCGTTCAGAGAAAAAAAAAAAAAGAGCCCCCGCCAAAAATCTGAAAAGTCTTCTCAAGTATCACTGTCCGTCAGGTGTGAGCATGTATCCAAAAGGTTACAATAACTAAGCCATAAATGTCAGAGGCCCTGTGAATCGCCAGAGACTAGAGAGAATTCCAAAATAAAAGAAACAAATCTCATCGAAAAGATTGCCACTGGAGGCAAGAAATGTTCATATCCACCCAATGAAAGGAGATACAGCCGCAGACAAATAGATCAAACAAAAATCCAAAGACCAAAAAGAGAATTGGCAGTCTTGCCAAGAGCAAATCGCCCATCCATGCTCTGTATACTACCATTGGTACACTACTTCAATCGATCATCGCTTTCCTTGCAGGAGGTTGGCGGGATAAAAAAGAAGTGAAAAGCAGCCTCCAGGAATAAAGCACAAGCAAAGTCCGCCTGTATCGCCCACGACATCAATCTCGTCAAAAAGGGATCCTCCTCTCCCCACAGGCAGCTGAAAAATTCATTGAACGCCAGGATAGACCGACTCGATAACAAGCAAATTGGGACAAAGAAGAAATAGAATAGAATAAAAGATCCAATCACACAATTATTGGTCAATATGCGTTCCAGTGCGTACCGCGCTCTGTATTGCCGAGACCAGGCCCCTGTACGTAGCATTATACGCACAAGCTAGACTTTATAGGCTCGCTTTCCTGTAGCCTGCTGATACCACTAACCCATTGCGCTATCGCTCTCCCTCTTTCTTTATTGTAAGGAAGGGCGATGTCCAGCGGGATCCACAACTTGGGCCATGACTCTCATTCCACGTGTATCATTGGACATTGCGTAGTTGTAGCCTTGCTGTTGGCTAACAGGAGGTGTTTGTGACAGGTCTCCCGATCTGAATATCGCGTTGCCGTTTGGGTCGTATTCACTGCGATGCGGCGCATCGAAAGAGCTCGGCATGAAGGGCTGGCCGGTTGTGATGGGCACCCCGGGGCTCACAAATGTTGCTGGTTGCGCAGCCGTTTGCTGCTGACCATATTGGTACATGGATGATCCACTGGTGGCCGCCGAGGCCTGTGGCCACTGCTGGGAGTACAAGTTCCCTCCTGGGCTGGCATAGTCGCTGAACACCGATGGTCGCCGGCTGGCATCGTGAGAGGTGGCAACCAAATCAAGGGTAAGGTTGCCAGTAGCAGCCGCAGCTGCAGTGGTAGCGGTGGGCACGGCTTGGCCGCTATGGACGGAGAGTGTGTTGCCCTCGACAAATGTATGCTGCTGTGAGGGAATCTCCGAAATCATTGACTGGGGGAATGTATTAGCCCGTGCTGTTAAATCGTTAATGAAGGCTGGTCCCCGAATGCTCGTGGCAGAGCTGGGCTCCGATGCCGGGTGCGGCAAGCCCTGAGAAACCGGAGGTTTGGATCTGGATACATCATGATCCTCTTCGTCCTTGATAAAGCCAGCATCTTCAGGGTCTGAAGCGTAGCTCTCTGGCATCTTGTCTTCTGCCATGACATAGACTTCAGTTGTGCCATCTATACATCGTTGGTGTCAGTATTAGGAACTTTTTGCTCTCAAGAGCTCAGATCTAGAAGAGTGGCGACTAGCTTACCGATTTCGCCGTTCTTGTACCGTTCCTCCAGCCGAGCTACCTTGAAGATTTCAGTAAGAAACGGCTTCTTCTTGGCATTTGCCTCGTTGTCCATGAAGAAGGATGACAGCGCCTCATTCGTGGTTTCATCAAGCTTCTTCACATTCAGACCAAGCTTCTGGATCTCAGTATGCTGCTTGTGGTTGGGTTCCACAACCAACCTGAGGATGTGGGCGAGAAGGTGGACACGCTCTGTTTCGTTCGATTAGCACATGTGAAATCGCCTGTATGTGATGCCGCGAAAAGTTTGACTAACCTCGCTTGTATAGATGATCGGGCTCTTTATGGCGGACCTTGTCGTCCTTTGTGGGACCCCACGCTTTCGGCCACCATCCTGGTGCCTTTTCATCGCTACCAGTGTAAGGATGCGTTGATTGCTTCTTGGGCTCCACGGCCTTGACCCAAGCCTTGGCAATGAGTTTGCAGGCCGTCTGCTGGCAGTTCTTGAAGCGCTGCTCGTAAAAGCTCCATACAGCAGCCGAGTCGCCAATCTTGATGCACCTGCGAGATGAAACAGTCATGGGAAGATCGTCTTCATCATTGATAGCCCGTGCTCCTCTGACGCGCTTGCGGCCTTGACGAACAGGACTGCCACTCCATTCTCCGAATGCAGAGTTGCGGCGACGGTCCATTCGACTACGACCGAGCCCAGCGGAACGACCGTAGAAGCCGTCTTCAAGATTATAATCGTCCAGCATAGGATCAGCACCTTTTTGACACACTGGTCAGCAACCAACCGAGTAGAAAGGTTTTTCGTATTGTAGATTATGGAGCACAAACCTGAATCAATGCGGGCCATGACCTGCCGGTATTTGGTGGCATCAAAGAATTGGCGAATCGTGTTGTCACTCATGCCGCGCCCAGTAGTAGGGTTGACAAAGGTCATGGTGGCGCCATCCTCGGTAATGGCAGTGACAAAATAATGCTTGGCGACAATGCCGCAGTGCGTTCTGAGCGCATCGTCGATTGACTGTTTTTCACGCATTGTCAGAAAAGGCATCAACAGCAAAGAGGCAGGGATATCTTGCAAACTTACCATCAAATGGCGACGCGAGTCGTTGCCATCTTGGAAACGAGCATTGTCGGCTTCTACGCCAACGCGCTCCTGTGGAAAGGGATGGTGTCGCTGAACAACATCAGAGGTATATCTCTCTGATGAGAAAGATTGATGCCGCGTAGCATCAGCAGAATAATACTGAGGTTGAAACGTCTGGTGACGGGGAAGTGAATCCCGCGTCCAGTCCTGAACCATGGTTAATGGTGATGGGTAGGAATAGGGTGTTGTCTAGGTCGTAGCAATTATGAAGAGGGCGTATTACGCTGGCAAAAGATGTAAGTGAACAATCAAGGCTCCCAAAAGAGCAGCGCGATTCAACACCAAGTTCGGCTCTGCTTGGTACGACTCCGGTTTGCATAGGCCAAAGAAGGGGATACTAGGGAGGCGGAAGTTGACGGCAAGGATCAGCCACGTTGTACTATCGTCAACGTCTTTGTGGAATCAAACAGAATCCCTCCGGTAATGCAGTGCTACTAAGATTCTGCTGCAAGTGGACAAGACTGTTTAATGGCCAGTCTGTGCTTCAAAGGTAGCGCAGAAGACTGTAGAAATAGAGCACGAGCAGAGTGGCGTATGAGTTTTTCGAAACGAATAGCCAGGCGATCAGACCATACGTGGGGATTATTGAATGCAGTGAAAGGCCAGGATCTCTTGGGATGGCGCTGCTGGCAGTTGGGGGGGTGTGTACGAGGATGCTGTTGTACCCGATTTTGTATAAATCGGCGATGCTGTGTAACAACCGTAGCCGATGTAGCGTCGACGGAGAAGACGAGGGCCGTGTGTGATGCCGACTTGGGTCGCGTTGTATGTGCGAGGCAATGTCGATGATGGCTTCTGATGGCAAGCGTCGAAGGCAGATGCAGCAAGCAACAGGAGCTTTCAACTAACCACCTTGTCCTGCAGCAAGATGTCAAGAGCAGCAGAGGCAAACGGTACTGGCCGGCAGTGAGCCGTGTTCGAGGACGAATCTGTGCAAGGCGCAGCCGATCGCTTTATAGAATGGGACAATTGCGTTGGGCGAATCAGACCAAGACTAGGGAGAGGTAGGGTGTCTCTCGTTGGTTTCCAAACACGGAACTGCTCCAAGACGGGACAGAAATCCCAAGTAGCCGGGCAGATAAGCAAGAGTCGTCTTGGATCGGTTTTTGTCGAGGGCACAAAGAGATCAAGCAGCGGGCGTCATGTGTTGCAATCCCTAGCTATCAGTGGTGTTGCCAAGCACGAACGAGTGCGGCGCGGTAGCACGGCGACAGAACAAACTCGGCAGAATATCGCAAACGCAGAGATGATATTTTCCCACTTTTTTTTTTCTCTTCTTTAAAGAGGGAAAACACTACGCTGAATCTTTGGGACTCTAACAAAACCACCAAGGGAGGGAGGACAAGAAGAAGAAGTCGGATCCGAGGCCGAGGCGAAACGAGAGTCAAGGTGGCCGGCAGTCACCGGGGAGAAGTGCGTTCCCAGGATGAAGAGCAGAGGGCGCAGAATCAAGGACGTGTCGGTTGATATGAGATCCAAGCCAAGCGGCACAAGAGAGGTCGACACAATTGGCCCAATTAGCACCAGGCCCAGACACCACCAGGAAGGACGATGGCAGCTGCGGGTCCCGCACAAGACAGCGGGTTGTCTGTCTCTCTTGTCGCTTTCTTACTCGCGGCCGTTGTGGTTGTTGGCCAGTCCACTTTGGACGGTAGTCTGCTCTTGGGTCCAACGGGCTGGCGTGTCAGCAGCGTCGCACGTCAAGAGGCAAAGACGGGGCCAATGGGAGGAGGCGAGCAGGGAGAGAAGGGAGAGCGAGCGAGAGCGAGATGGACAGAGAGAGAGACACAGAGAGAGAGAAGAGAGAGATGGATCCAAGGAGAAGCAGGAGGCCGGCAGAAGATTGAGTTGAGTGCCTGGTATGCTGGGCAAAAAGAGAAGAAGCAGCACCAGCACCAGCAGAGCGAATGGGAGAATCGCGGACGAGGGTGCGGGCGAGAGTCGACAGTCGAGGGGCAGGTACATGTAGGAAGACGCAGGTGAAGGCAGCCCAGGCCGTTCAGTTGAGGCAAAGCAAGGCGAGGCAATGCAAGGCAGGTCGAGGCATGGGGCATGAGGCCTGTAAGAGCGAAAAGGCGGGCTCGGCCTGGTGGTGATGCAGGCAGGGAGCAGCGCAGCAGCGCAGCAGCAGCGCTGGGCCAATCGCCGGGCCTCTGTGCGCGGCAGATGCACGCAGCCCGTGTGTTTTATTTTTATATCTGTCTCTCTTTCATTCATACGAGTAGGTGTACGTTTCTTTGCTTTTGGCCAGTTCTACCACTAGGTATGCCACGCTGTATCTGCCATCTCTCTTTTTCTACGTTTTCCTTTTTTCTTCCCCTTCGTTTCATCACAACGAGGTCAGTGCCTCAGAAGCTTTGGGCAGAGGGCGAGAGATCGTCCGGCCCGCCAACGTGCTCGCCGCTGAGGCCCCAGAGCCTAGTATATAGAGCCACGAGCCTAGAGCCTCGAAGCTGGGGTTTCTCGCCTGGCGCGATACCTGGAACAGCTCCGGCTGCAGCTGGGGCTTCTGCTAGTCCCCCGTACGAGCCCTCGTAGCACTTGCTGGGCTGGCGCTAGCGGTCGCTGGCGTCGCTCCCAGCCAAGGCACAGCACCAAGGTTCACGCTGCCCTCCACTCGAGGCATGGCAGCACTCCCAGCACCAGCGCCAGCAGTTAGCGTCCGCCGGTAGTGTGCCAATGTCACAGCACACCCACCTGGCCAGGGCCTAGGCCATGCTCAGCAACATCCACGCCATCCGTCGGCCGTCCAGGTCGGCATGTCACCCGCGCCGGTGCCTTTTAGCAGTTCGAGGTGCCACGGGCTGGCAGGGTACGAGCTCGTAGAGTCTCCAAGGGCAGTAGGTATGAGCGACGTAGACTTCTCTGAGGTAGTAGGTTGTACGTAGTATAATACATATATAGTATCACTGCGGTGTATCAGCAGGATAGCGCAGGTGGGCTGCCCTTGGTTGGTGAGGAGCTTCTGCGCAATGTGTAGCAGAGGACGACTTCAGAGGTACAGGCGTGTTTGTTGCTGGCTGTACTACAAGCACCTGGCTGCAGATATTGCGTCCTCAGATTTAACCTCTTAGTCCCGTGTAGCTGTGGAGAGAACGCGCCGCGAGCACGGATGACCCAGTAAACGCCGTCCCCAGGAACACACTCCGTGCTCTACTCCGTTGAGCCACCAGACGCCGAGTCGTTGCTGGATCGTCAAGAGAGAGAGGCAAGAGGCGGCTGCTGACATGCTCGACTCCAAAGCCTGGTAACCTTGACATGCTTCAGCCAGCAGCGCTGCTCCATCAGCGTGCAGGTCAGGTACGAGCATACTGTACGGACTTCGGGCCCGGTATAAGCTGCGCAGCTAGCATTGCCTTGGATCCGTATATTCGTCCCCTCTCCCTTAGCCAGCGGTCCATCGGCCAACAAAGGGGGTCGATCGCCTGTATGGTGTATGGGTATCGGGCGCAACAAAGGTGAAAGCCCCAGCATCGTCACAGTCATACTCGTAATCATCAAGCAGGCGTAGACTGTTAGTCGCCATCCCCGCGCGTCTGGGGAGTTCACAGCTCGCTCTGCGAGTGGCTAGAAACGGACATTGGACACTTGAGCTGCGTGCAGGACACTAGAGGCACCGCACTGCCTGGGGAGCATAGAGGCAGCCCTCGATCCCATTCCATCCGGCACCCGAAACAAAGCTGTGCGGCTCACCGACTAGCACGAGTGCCACAGGAGCACCACTTGGTGCCGGTAAGAGACAAGTGGCAGCACCACCTCCTCCAGGAAGACCAGGGACATGACGGCAAAGTCGCGTGTCTGCACAAGTAAGGCGCTCGGCTGTAAGTCGAGCGTACTAGTGGAATAGAGTTCAGTTGTGCGTACCGAAGGAGGTTCCCCTCAACAGGGGTGTTGTAGCCTTTATTTTGCCCAGCCCAGGCTCGAGCCAAGCATTGGCCCAACCACAACACCATGTCCCAGGAAGAGCTAAACGCACAAGGCCAGCACTTTCTCTGAGGGCAGCGCGCGTTGGGACGGCGCTGACGCATCTCCTTCGATTTGGTCACGATCCGTGCGTCGTGTAGCGCTGCCTCTAACACATTCTCACCAGAAACTGCTGTTTCTACTCGCACGAGTACAGTATCACCCTTCTTCATCTCCGTATGAGGTACAACAAATGGTGGTCCTCGCACAAGTGCCACCAGCAATTCACTCGGCCTCATTGGCTGCTTCTTGCTCCAGAGCACGAGCGGTTCGGAAATCTCCAGTGTATCCACCCAGATATCGAGCCAACGCGCCTTCTTTCTCTCCCCCTTCCCTCTCTTGGATGGATACCCAGATACAAGTACATGGCAGAGCCTTTTCGTTGGCTCAGCATATCCCGAGCGTGCCTGTGCCGCATGGAAGCTCGGGAAGTTAATAGCGGCATTCAAGCCTGGGTACCAGGGCTGGCAGCCCAGGGTGACAAGCGGCAGCTCCAGGATAGCCCTGCTCGTGCCAGCGAGGATTGCGTAGCCCACGGGGCTAACGGTGAGACGGAAAAGGGAAAAAAATCCAAAATCAGGCCAAGAACAAAGCAGACGCCAATTAAATGCGTCTCCAAACCTTGGTTTTGCATAACCTAAATAACATTAGCATCCTTCCAAGTTAGTGCCCCGAACGGAGGACTATCTGTTCAGGGAGAAAATGGGCTGTGGATCAGACATAATTGGTACGAAAAACGGACCTTGGTAGTGCGACCATTCCATAGCTACAGCCGTCCGTCTGCTAGTGGTATTTTACCCGAAGCTCGTGTATGGATGACAGCAGTGCTCCATGTTTTTAACTCTCCTCTGAGACAAAGCATGGGTTGAGTGTTTGATTTGCAAAATTTATGCCGTCAAACCCATTCCGCTGCCAGCAAGAAAAGTGAGACATACCGCAACTCTGGCTCCACGCAATATGGAGAACAAAGAAGGTGGGGTTTTCGAGGGAAAGAAGGCTTGCGAGCCAGCATCAAACTGCTTCCTGCTCTGCGGGCCAGACCAGTAGCGAGCAGGCTGCCTGCTATCACACTGCATCTCTCCAGTCTGATGCTGGCTAGGTCATAGTTCGAAACACAGGCAGATGCTGCACATTTGCAAACCACGAAGCATCGATGATGCAGATGACTTACCTTTTGGGCCGTGCGCATACAAGTAGTAACGGTAAAATCCATCGGCTTGTGACAAAGCTCACCACAAAAGCGTACCGTGATGCCTCGTGAATAGCTGCCCTCTCAATCCCCCCCTTTTTTTCTCCCCCTCCTCGGTAGCCACGGCCAATGGAAGAAACGCCGTGCAGGTTGGAAACAAAAGAACGTTCTGCCTGCGCCCGTTGCGGATTGGCCCAATTGATCCGCTCTCTTGGACCACGTTGTTATCGGCAGTACCACTCGTACGGAGTGTGCCATGAACCAATGCCGGCTTTGGCAGCCATTGACTTCGGGCAAGGGTAGAGATAGTTTCAGCCCGTCTTGATACAGACGCGCTGTGGAAGCACTTTCGACAAGGCTACACCACCACTCTGGAGCCGTGAGGTAATAAAAGTCTGCAGTTCGGGGCACGCACGAGTAGATCGTCGCCAGGAACCAGAGGCAGGGATGGTGGCTTTGGCTCGCTGTCGCTAAATGGCTAAATGCTGTTGTATGCGCTGATCAGCAGGCGTGCCCCGTCACGAGACCCGGCTGGCTCCATCCTTGGCTCAGAGATGGAACTTGCCGTGATGAGAGAGAGTCATCGCATGAAGTCGCCTTTCTGGAGGTAGCGTTGGCACTGCCAATGCTTCTTGTTTTGTGAGCTCGTTGGCCAAAAGTCTCTCCCTGCATCTGGCTCTGGCCTTTCTCGCTCGTCCGTCACCGAAGCTGGGTGAAGCGTAAACTACAACAATGACCTGGAACGCCAGATTCTGCGACTCTCTCCCTAGACATTTCCTATTGGGCGGCAAGTGTTGCTGCTTTGAAAGAAAGACTCTCTAGGCACGCAGCTAAGTTCGGGGATACCGTTGTGGCAGTGAAAGGCGTCAACCCCCCAGGCAATTTCGAGCCCTTGTGCCTTCTTCGTAGACTTGCCTTCTTCTCTTCTTGCTAGTAGGGGTGATGAAAGAGCGTGCCTGTTGTCAGTAGCACTTTGACCTCGCCGGCGACGATGAGATACTTGGCCAGTACAGCTAAGAGCCAACCAGTAGTGGGGAAGAGCACGCTGCGTCTGCTTGGGTCTCGGGCTGTACTGCAGAGTACTTGAGTGCCTGCCTACCTGCCCGGGATTTGCCATTCCAGCAGCTCGGGGCCAACGGGAAGGAGACAGTGACAGCCATGCTTCAGGGGTGGGCAATGGCCGGGAGCGAAGGAAGGTGCTTGGAACCTCCAGCTGGCACCACTGCTATATTAAGTGCTCTAGTGCCTCTGCCCTCCCTGAGTAAATACCAGTGCCGAGTTATTGGATGCTTTTGCTGGGGTGATGCAACCTTTTGCCAGACACACTGGTACTGTAGCAGTACTTGGACACTTCAACTCCTCAGCCCAGTGCCATCTTGCCATCTCGTCTTACTAAACACCAACACACCAACGGCGTCTTTCACAAGATTCGTTTCCTAAAGCAGGCTCGTGCGCCGAACTAGTGGCCGCCATGGAGCAAAGTTTCACAACTGGTCGGCTTCTTGCAAGTGCAACGGGCTGGATCTGGATAAGAGCCGCATCCTCTACTGGTTTCAGCAACTCACGGCGGATTCCTGCCCAGAGCAGCGGCGCCGCCTTTATTACAGGCATGGCTTCTATTCTTATCCGAACTCGCGGGACGAGGTTGGCCGAATATGTGGTTGATACGGCTGGGCCAACGGCGAGCTGACGCTTACTGCCGCTATTGAATGGTTTTGGGCGAAAAGGATTCAGAACTGGGACAACGCTGCTCCACGGGATGTCTCTCTGGAGACGCTTGCGTTTCTATCCGCCGTAATCTTGAGCACGCAGCAGATGCAACAGACGAGAGACAGACTCGGCAAGTGCATCGTGACAGTTTCACACAGGAATTTGGATTTGGCTGCAAAATGCCGCTAGAACTGCTCGCTGCCCATTAGTTTCTCAAAGTCGTCACTAATACTAACGGATCAACAATTCTAGTGGGACGCGGTACGGCTCGAGCTCTTAGTTTAGCTGGCGGACGTCCTCCACATAGCAAAAAAGCCATGAAACGCTTTCCGGTAACCGAGGCGCTCTGTAGCCGGGCAAACGAGGCTGATCCTGGCCGCAGAGTTGTAGCACCGCTCTCACGCGGGCAAATCGAATACATCCGATTGAGACAGCTTTGTCAAGAACTATCGATCGAGCCCACAGCTGGCTAGATGGCCGTGGCGGTGGCTGTGGAGGCGCAACAAAGCTATACCATGGTACTGCTACTACTGTAGACGAACTTCCAATGTCTCAAAGGGTGAGACCTGTCAATCCGACATGGCGGTTGAGCCAGTGGATGCGGGAACCCTCTCTGCCAGTGAGATCCAGGCTTGCAACACCTGGCTGCGCCATCCCGGACAACCGGCAGCAAATCCTTGCTGCGTTTCAAGCCACTGTGGAGAAGCTTGGAGACTGGCGCCATGACCCCAAGATCGCTACTCCCAGCCTTTGCACTCCTATGTGGGGGGTTTATGAGACAATACAACACTACTAACCAAGAACTTGACGACCGCTCGAGCACAGCAGCTGAAACATGAAACAAACCCTCTGTAGATACTGAGCATCGTGCAATCAGTGGGCAAGACCGTTGTACTCGTTGCATCCTGGAGGCCCTGGATGATTTAATAATACCGCTCGCTACTGTTACGTCTTCGGGTGCCCTACCTCGTCCTCTATATGGACCGACCCCATCTGATGGTAACAACCACCACCCGAAGAGAAGAAGTTGGGGGTCAGCAGCAGTAGTAGAACCCCATGGTACATTATGGATCATAGAATGCCCTGCTAGCATGCAGGTGTTGCTGGTACTGCTGGCATTGCTGGTTTGATCACCAATTCATTACCTATGCCGCATTACTAGGCAACTCCGATGAAGCAAAGCCCACCTTCAGAGGGCTACTTCCGTATTGCCGACTCATTTGGGAAAAGCAAGAATCTTCAAAATCCCGAGCATGTCCCATACTGGACACTCAAGGGGAGGGTGCATCAAAAAAGGGCGTCGATTGCCTCTCTTCGTTAACGAAAAGGTCAATGCTTCGCCAGATTCTGAGGCATCGCATCCTATCATCCTCTGTGTTGGTCCCGGGCCAGTTTCCGGATCCCTTGAACGCCACCAGCGTTTCAGCTTCAATGCCAAAAACCCAGAAAACAAAACAACTGTTGAGGCCAACAGCAATATTACCATCACCCGAGACAATGACGCTGGACTACCTGTACCAAAATCTTGTGTCTTGCGCCGAGGACGTTTTGACAAGCGTATTAAGCCCTCCGATTTGCCCTGCTAGATCAACCCCAGCGACATTCTCAATATTACGCTGAATGTATTATTGGCAGCTATCGATACGCATCACTTTGGTTGGCACTCAATCGTTGATACTGTCACAACCACAAAGCAATATTTTCCTTGTACCTATGACGAGTTGCCATTTCACGCCAGTTTTTTGTCATTGCCACGCGCAAATATGGAGCCATTATCTAGACCACCAGGTTCTCCACGTGGACAGATGTCAATCATTGTTATGATCTCTTTAATACTACATTCGCAGGTATTAGTTGTTGAAAACGTCCTCTTCAAACCGAAATCTTCCTACCTTGACCGACAATCAGCATAGGCATTTTGTGTAGCTTGGCAAAAGTTAGTCGGCGCCTGCCCCTTGGTGGAATCCTTCTGGGTATGATATCACTGATAAATAGGATGTCGCCGCTCTGCTCATCATGGCGCTCTGATATGCGGTACAAGCAATATGCATAGCCTTGCATGTGCCTAGTAGGTAAGGACTGGCATGATGTATGTTACGGAATATATCTTCCGCCATGCTTTGTCCTTGCGGACTAACAGCACAGTTTCAGCTAGATACAGAGCACAAGAGAGTGCTAATAAATCGCTCCTTCGGGTCACGCCGAGCCTTTCGAGCGACAGCTGAGATCTATCTGGGCAAAATAGCGATCTGCTGATGAAAGGGCAGAACAGCAGCTATTATTAGCCCCGGCCACTCTCTCCGCAGGATGGCCAAGACTACTATATGCATTCAAAGCTCAATGCGGAACGCTAGGAGCACTTTAACCGCACACTACGGCGTACGGCCCGCAGAGAGCGTGGCCAACAGTGACGGGAGCAACTGCTAATCCTCCTCCAAGTTGTTGGACCAGGCGACCAACGAGGGATGGCAATGTGTACTCCGTCAGAGCTGCAGCTGCCAGCATTGCATTACACGGACGAGACCCGCTCTGCATATGCCATGGTTGCCGAGACGTTGCCTTTGATCATGTTTTGAGCACTAATCCGCTTTGCTTTACACGTACCAGCAGTATATTGGCTCAGAAGACGAGGCGCAAATCCCCATGTCCCCATGAGATCCTGCCACGGGAGCTCAACGCCCGCAGAAGCCATCCGCTTCGGCCTCAGAATGCGCAGCTAGAATATTAGCACCCCTCTAGACTCTTCTCCCTCCCTAACAAGTGTTGGAACTAGTGAGGCTATTAGCCCTACCCATGGCTAGTCCTGTTCATCATCCGCTAACTACGAATGCTGGAACGCTTTGACTTGAGGTCCCGTCAGCACGACTTCACTACAGGCCGGAAAGACACATGCTGTACTGTAATAGCATACATTCGAGATGAAATATGTATACTAAAGCTTGGTGGAGATGTATGCTCTTCTGAGAACACACCGCCAGAAACCCTTATGAAGCGGTGCGGAGCATAGCGCTACATACCGATCGCTACTTGTATCCCTCTCTTCTCATCGAGATCCTTCAACTCGCCATTTCGGGCTTCTTACATACAGTGCATCTCTGCTGCTACCATGGGGTGTGGGTAAATCTGGTACTAAACTAGTTCCAGGTATTCCTGATAACCAAAGATTGCCTTGCTTGGCAAACGGTGAGTACATGAAGGAGCTTGGCAAGGAAATGCCAGGTGCCACTTTGCATGAGTTGATTGACTGGAAATGGATCTAAGCTGCAGGCTTTATTTCTTTTACATGTTGGCGTCCCAGAATGGACATCCAGCTGCCTTTGGGACACCTTGTCGGTCCATTTGCCGATGTGGATTGAACACGACACAAATGGCCAGCGAGGCCGAGTCAGCTCTTCGCATAGCGCATCACATCCAGGATTTCGCCGAAGCTACTGTATAGTGTAGAGCCGGAGAAGATGCCGTTCAAATCCCGTCCTTATTCTGTCTATAGGGAACGGTGCGGCTTGCCGCTATTGCTAGCAGTATGTGATCTTTTTTCTCCTGTCCCGTTTAGGCTGTATTATGTGCTTCATCCTTCAACACTTACTTGCAACCGTACAGTTCCAGCTTTGATAGCACGTTGCGTACTCTGTATAGATATGGATGAGCCTCAGAGCTGTCATTGGGCGGAAGAAATCTCAGGGGTGACACTATCGTTGTTTCCCATGGCGACTAGCCATGGGGTATTGTACAGTAGAAGCACACAACTGCCGATGTCAAATCAGGCCAGCACGGAACGTGGCCCATCCGCGTACAGGTCATTCAACAGCGGTCTTGCCAGCACGAGTACATGGCGATAGCACCCCGGAAGCCAGGTGGTTTGGAACTAACGCAGAAGCACGAGTACGGAGCAACCGCTTGGCACGTTTACTCATCTATGCCCTTGTCTGGCGAAGCCTGTCAAAGAATCCTTGGCTGCTAGAATCGATGGTCTTGCCAGCCCTAGTTGCAGGCACAGGGAAGCGAAAAGGAGCGCGACAACGGCTACACGGGACCCTTCCAAGCCTTCTCGCCCCCAGGAAAAGAAAACGGCCTCGAAATCAAAGTGCTACCATCCACGTCATGTGTCACTTCTCACACAGATAGGGCAATCATTCTACGGAGTACAAGCCGATACTGAGATGTACCATGCATCGGCGTGCATGCACCAAGGTGCGTAGGGACCCATTCTGTCGCCCTCCACCCCTCCATTTCGCAACATAGAGAGCTTTCATATATACACACGCGCGCGCTACGTACTCGTAGATCCCAGGTAAGCAGTCAATCTTTGTCACAAACCTGCCAAGCGAGGCGTTGCATAGATGGATGATGCCATTGTATGACCAACAACCGGTCATCCCCTTGTTCTTCTACTGTTGACAGTGTGTAGAAACATACTGCTGTCTGTATTGACACTAGGTACTCCCAGATGTCATTATCTTTTCTACCCTCCCTTCCGCCCCGCGCAGAGAGAGTGTGTAGCCGAGCTGAACAAACGATGGCTTCGAGGTTATCCTGCCCAGCATTTAGTGCTCCGGACCAGGATTCCCCCTGACGTTTTGGTGCAATATTTCGCTACCCCACAGGGCATGGCCTAGACGTTATCATTCTTCATAAACGATGACCTAAATACATCGTGCGGATCGGTTGTAAAAAGCGGATCATGTCAAAGTCCCAAAAGTAGTATCTGCAGGTACGAAGTGCTGTACCAAGGCAGTCTCTTGGAGAAGAGCATATTCCCGGTACCAGGCATCCTTCCCTCTCCTCTCTCTCAGTACCTGTTGACATTTCCTCTGGCAGCAGGCCGCACCCATAGCAACGAGTCATGTTAGTGGCTATCGTCATTCCCCAACGGCCGAGAAAATTCCCATCCAGCGCCGACACAAACGGCGCACCAAATTTCCCGAGCTGTGATTGCTGCTTTGGAAACTTGTCTCCCCCGCTCGTCTATCCATTTTGCAAGGAGAGAGTGCCGGGGAGGGGGGCCCCAGGAATGGACCAACACAGACCCAAACTTGACTTGGAGCCCTTGAAAATCGCCTGATTTTGATTGCTAGGGCCGTCGCATAATACGCAACATAGCTAAAAGGGTCCGCAGAAAAGGGCAGGGACTGGCTGATTGACTGACTGACTGACTGACTGACTGACTGACTGACTGACTGACTGACTGACTGACTGACTGACTGACTGACTGACTGCGGATTGAAATGATCAAGTGCATACATGGCAAGACTGGGAGCACTGTTTATCCCACACACATTTCACCATTCATAATTGTTTGTGATTGTTTAGTATTGTTTGCTTTTCCTTTTCTCTTTCATTAGCGGATCGCTGGATACCGCACTTATATACGAAGTGAACCACCACCCCCACAGATATACGCCATTTTCGTTTAGAAATGGAGTCGCATGAAATGTCACTCTAGGTCGAGACGTAAAATTCATCCAGGGAGGGGGGGGTGGCCAGAAAAGCATGAATTGATCTGCAACTACCATTTATGATGGAATGTTAAATATGATGAGACATACATAAAATGCTACAGTACTAGGTATTGATAAGCAAAGCAGCACGTTGTGCTGTAGTGGTGCACACACCACTGGCAGTAGCATCTATCAAAAGTAGGGGATATCAGAGGCAAGTACCGAAGAAGCTGCTTGCTTTGTTGGGTTAATTTTTAAATCCATGTTATTCCCATTCGGCTGAATACGTAACGCAAGGGCGGGATGAAATGAAGAATGGAGAAGTAACAGAAGACAGAAAAGGGCTCAGGTAACACCTTGGATATCTTAAGCTTGATTGATGGTGTACCAATATATAGGAAAATTCCTCGAATGGGGTTTGTGAATGAGTGATACTGTTGTGATTGTTGCTCTCTAATCACTATCAGCACACATGCACACATCGGAATATTCCGCATATACAAGAAATCCTTTTTATTCCCTTTCTTTTTTTGTTCTCTGCTTTTGTCCATATGGCTAAAATCCATTGTAGATAACGCCATGAGGCCAGCTATTTGGAAAACTTAGAAAAAAAATAGGCATCTTGAAAACGATTCGAGTCGTCTTCAACGCCAGTCCCCCTGCCCCCTTTACATACATCCATATTTGAGCATCATGATACCCTAAATTAACCAAGTAATGTCCACTCTTCCAACATTTTCCTTGAAAATAAATAGTAAAAAAATAAATAAACAGTAATGCCTAGATAGGTAGCAAAGCATGCAAATAAATGTTCAAGATTAGACAGCCTTAGATTCGCAATATTCAAGAATCAATCTCAAGACCCGCCTGTCTCATGAGGTTGTAAAAGATGCCCTGCTTTTTGTACAGCTCGCTCGGTGTATCAAACTCTGCCACTTCACCCTTGTCAAGCACAACGACGCGATCGCTGTCAAGAATGGTGTTGAGTCTGTGCGCAACGGTAATGATCGTCCGGTTCGCAAACAGGGGAGATCGCAGTGTGGCCTGAAGCATGGCATCCGTCTCTACATCGACAGCGGCAGTAGCTTCATCCAGAACCAAAATGTTGGACGGAGTGAGCATGGCACGGGCTAATGACACGAGCTGTCTTTGCCCCTGAGAGAGATTAGAGCCTAAAGTAGCAATCACCTAGTCAGCTTCCGTTCGCCCTAAAATGAGTATACAGCGGGCGTTTGGTCTTAGTAGACGAGCAATATGACAAAACATTTGGCGAATGTGGGTAAGGTGCAGAGACAGGCTAATGTAGTTGGACACGAGAACGACATAGTGGCAGAGGTCCAGGGCAAAGCCTCTCGACATTTGCTCACGCATCAATGAATGGGGTGGATACATGGACATCGCCCAAGCAATATGAGTAAATAGCCGATGACAAACAATCATAGGCAATCCAAGAAACGCAATCAAATGGAAAGTAAAAGGGGGGAAGAGATCAAGAAACTTACCGCCTTCGTTAATCTTTGCTTCAAGGCCGCCTTCCATGCCGGCCACATGGTCTTTCAGACGGGCGTGGTCTAAGGAGTAAAAAAATTAGTAAAAAGTGCAGCGAAAGAGAAAGCAAACAGATTTGCCATGTAGCAACAAAGAGAATAAGATAATAGTAATAGTAGAATGGAAACTTACCTAACACGCTCCATAGCTCGCTGTCATCGTGTACGTGGCCCGGGTCGAGGTTGTCACGAACAGTGCCCTCAAAGAGAGCTGCGTCCTGAGGAATAATAGCAAGACGGCGTCGGAGATCCAACAAGCCAATAGAAGAGGTGTTGAGGTTGTCAATATCGATCTGACCAGTGACTGGCTCAATGAGCCGGAATAGAGCCAATGTCAGAGAAGACTTGCCAGCACCGGTTCGGCCAACAACTCCAATCTTTTCATGGGTCTTGATGTCGAGATTGATGTTCTTCAGAACCAAGTCCAAGCCCTCGCGATAACGAGTGCTGTAGTTCTTGAAGTCGACCTCACCCTTGGCAGGCCAAGAAACAGAGGGGCGCTTGCTAGGAATGATCTCGGGGGCTTCACTGGGCAGCCGGGCGTATTCAAGCACTCGCTCGACGGATACAATGTTGGTCTCGACCTCAACTGTCTGGCGAACGATCCAATTGAGAGAGGTTGTAATCTGCAGGGCATAAGACATGGCCAGACCAACGAGACCAGCACTAAGACCGCTGTGGCTTGCAACAGAGACAATGGCAAAACCGGCGGCAGCAAGGATGACCACGGCTCCAATGAACTCAAGTCTAACAGCAAGCCAACGGTTGGCACTGATGGATGGGAAATAGGCGCGAAGGTTGGCATCAACTCTCCACTCATTTTCAAGCTGGAATCTCTCGATTTGACGGTAGGCGCGAATTGTGGCGACGCCTCCAAGCGACTCTTGGAAGTGAGCGTAGATGGGGCTGCGGCTGACACTGTCCAGACGCTTGAGCTCACGCGAAGTTCGGAGGTAGTAGCGTTGGATCCAGTAGTATGCCAGTGCAATGGGCACAATGAGAGCGATAAAGGCAGGCGTGGATACGGAGATGATGATGAGAGTGAAGCCAGACTTGGCAACATTGACGAAGAGCATATTGAATGTCCGGGCCAAGACTTCGTCAACACGGTAGATATCACTAGAGAATCGGTTCAAGATTCGTCCAGCCGGGGTGGTATCAAAGAAGGACATGGGAGACCTGAAGATAGCGTTGGCCATGCGCTCGTGGAGCTTCCGGGAGGCTTCGATGGAGCAGAAGATCCATAGAATGAGTGTTTGGAGAACTGTCAAGAGAGAAGAGCCGATACCAAAGGCAAAATAGATGCCAATGTACTTTCCGACGTGGTCGTTGGAGCCAACATACTGGTTCTTCTCGGCCCATTCCTTCAGCCATACCGAGCCACCAATGTTGGCCGTCTGCGCGGTGAGGAGCGCAATTATGTATATAGCCACAGCGTAAAGGTTGTTTTCCTTGGCATACTCGCCGTAGACCGACCACTTGACCTTGCCCTGCTCAACGTGCTCTTTGGCTTGCTTTGTTTTGGAGACTCCCGCGACTTCTTCATCCGTAAGCTTGCCGCGAGGTCCCTTGAAACTGGCTGTACTAGCACGTCGCAAAGTCGCCATGCTGCTTGATCTTGGCTTGTCCACCATGGCGGACCCAGTCTTAATGGGTGCCATTTCAGGAACTTGCTCTTGTGCTTCTTCCAGTTCTTCCTTGTCTTGAGTGCTGAGAGGTTCAATGACAGTAGACGTTTCGCTAGAATCTCCGCTAGAGCTACCGCTAGAGGGACTGGTAGAATCATGGCCTGCGGTTCTCAAGAGATCGGCGACAAGTCCCTTTCTAGCAATGAGCTGCTCGTAGGTTCCTCTCTCGACAATTTCCCCATCCTTGAGAAGGGTGATGTAGCTGGCTTGTTTCAAGACAGAAATAGCGTTCGTGGCCAGGATACGAGTCTTGGTAGATAGCAAACCGCGGGGTCCGAGGACATTTTCAATAATGTGTCGGCCAACATGGGAATCCACAGCTGATAGAACATCGTCGAGAAGGTAGATGTCGGCTCTAGCATAGACAGCGCGAGCCAGCGAAACTCGAGCTCTTTGACCACCGCTAAGAGAAATACCTCGCTCACCCACGACAGTTTCATCGCCGTCAGGGAGTTGTGCGAAATCATCAACCAGAGCACAAGCCTTAATAGTCTTTTCGTAAAACTCGGGATCCCATTTATATCCAAAGACAATGTTTTCCTTGACTGTGGCGTTGAGAATCCAGCATTGTTGAGAGCCATATGCAATAGTTCCCCTGACTTCTGCAGAGCCCTTTACCTTGTATAAACCACCGAGAACACTTTGCAAGAAAGAAGACTTGCCGGCTCCAACTCGACCAACAACGCATGATAGTTCTCCCTTGTAGGCAGTGAAGTTGATGTCTGTCAACGCATTCTTATCTTCGTGGCGGTTCCAAGAGAAGGTACCATCTCGGATGAGAACGGTTTCCTCGCCCATTTCCTGAGGGGATTCTCGAACAGTAACAGCATCTGTCTGCAGCTCCTCAGCAGTGAGGAAGGCGGTGAGACGGCCAACAGCAACGGAAGCCTCCACGATGGAAGTGATGACCATGGGGAGCACAGCCAGGGGGAAGGTCAGGAGGTTGAACAGGGCGAGAGCAGGGAAGACAATATCCGTAGTCAGAGGGCGATCCTGGGTGAGAACGAAAACGGTAAAGGTGGAGCAGGAGACGAAGAAGGGCGCAGTGTTCCAGGTGAAGTTGGCCACGGCTTGGGTCGCGCCAATCCTACGAAGGTTCTTCAGCTCTTGCTCGTTGCGGACAAAGTTCAACTTGGCCATAAAAGCAGAGCCCCAGGCATAGAGCTTGATGCTCTTCATGTTGTTGATGATTTCGTTGATCAATCGACTTCTGGCATCCTTGTTCTTCATCTGATCCTTTTGTAGGTTTCTCATCATTCGAGCGACAAAGCCTTGCACGGGCATCATGATGATCATGACGACGACACCTGCCATCATAGACCATCCGACGAGGTTATACAAGGAAATCATGCAGATGGCGATTTGGAATGGCGCCGACCAGGCTTGCTGTGCAAACTGAGTGAGATCTTGGAGACGTTGGGCATCGACTGCCATGTAGTTGACAATGTCACCGGTAGACTTGGATGATCGTCCCTCGTTGGACAGTCGCAATGACTTTCGATAAATTGTCGAGGCCAGACCACCCTTGATACGCATACCAGTTTCGAAAGCAAGTTGGAAATATTGGTGAACCATTGTGGTTTGGAAGACGGCACAAGCAAACATGGCAAGCGCAATAGAAGCGCCCTGAATGATGGGCTGGGGAGTCTCTCCAAGGTTATAAGACGCGACAAACGCAATGAGAAGACGAAGGAGCTGCGGCTGGATGTACTGTGCAACATCATTTCCAGCCTTGAAGAAAGCGGCTGTGACGTAGGGGCCTCCGTAGGCTCGGAACAGGGCCAGCCAAAGTGACGGTGAGTTGGGCCGGTGCTTGAGCTCGTGTTTCCACGCTTCTTCGAGAGCCACGCCCGTGTTCCTAGTCTGGTCAGCTCGGGCGAGCCCCCAGAGATCGTTTTCGGTCAAAAAGATCTTGTAGCCGCGTCTCATCAGTGGTGTCATCCACGAGAAGGTGAGCTTGGAGAAGACGGTGGCGTAGTCTTGAGGACACTCCTCTTCCTCGAGAATGGCTTCATATCCATTATCCAGCGAACGGGGCCACAGCCACTCAACCAAAAACTCCACCACAGAGAGGCCGACCCCGATAGTGTAGGTGATGAAATACGCAAGGTTTTTGGCATAGAGCTGCTGCGAAACCAACGAGCGCTGCTTCACCGCGAATGAGATGATGAGCAGCAGCCAATAGAACAGCACAACCCCGTTTGCGTTTCTCAGGCGTGAATGCTCCAGCCATTGGATTGTAAAGATGAAGAATAAGGACAAGACGAGGACAACAGTAGTCCAGGCTCGGAAGTCGCGATACCAGATGCTTCCATAGCTAACGATTTGGAAAGCGAATTGAACTATGACGTCGGCAATGATGGCTCCGAGTAAGGTCTAATCAGAAATTGGATGTGTTAGCCACACTCTCCCAAGCAAAACAACACTTCCATAGACCCTAGCATACCTGTTTAATCCAGAAATGCGCATTCTTAGACGTCGGCAACTCCTGCTTCTTCTTCTTCAGCCACCAAATGGCGATGGCGCCAAAGAGGATTCCATAGACGGAGACAGTAGCGATCCAGACGTCGACGAAGCACGGCGTGAAGTCGTATCGGAACGGACTCAGGGGGCCCCATCCCTCTACATTGCCGCAGAAGTTGTTGCACGAGGCGTTGGCGGCGAGATAGTTGCTGCCCAGCTCCTGTTGAGGTCGGTAGCCGGTGAACGAGCCGGTGTGCAGCAGCACCTTTTGCTCGCTGTACGGATCCATGATTGCGATCCAGCTCTTGTCTTGTTCAAACGTGCGTGCGAAGTTGTTACCGCATGCTCGACGTCGGCCTATCGGTGGTGAGGCTGAGGCGCAATGATGATGTCGAAGAAGCTGCTGTTAGTCGGTCAGTGACGCAAGGGGTCGCGACACGGCAAAAAAGGACCAATGCGTCGGCGCGGCGCAAGGGATTTGTGTTTGCGGTTAATGGGGGCTCAGCCGATGCAAGACCTGGCGATAGAACCGATGAGGCAGCAGTAAACAAAGAGCAAAAGCCTTGAGCTCAGGGAAGAAGAAAAAAAGAAGCTGCCCGAGCGACCGAGATTGAACAGAAACAAATGATACCCACTGGATTTGGCTGTGGAGACCTGTGCGCGCCGAACTACAGAGGCTTCTGGCGGTGCTTTGTCAGCTCGCGCAAGTCTTTTCAGCAGGTACCGCCACAAAAGGCCGCTAAAGGGGCCGCTAACTGTCCCACAGAGCCCCAGCTGCTACCAGGCACAGAGCCGGTGACGAATTAGAGGGCCTCTATTACCCCGTACGGCGCGCATTGCAGCAGTGCTCACAGGCCAGACCACTTGCTTAAACAAGCAGAGCGCTGGGGATACGATGCTGGCGCTAAATCCGATATACCCATGACCCCAAGCGGCGGTATCGGACGGCTGTTGGCCGATTTCCGTGGACAGCCGCTTACCCTAGAGGGGCTTTGAATTCCGACGATTTGGTTCTTTTTCTTCTTATTTCCTAGACAAATCGGCAAATTTTGCCATGGATGTGATAGTTTCGTCCTCGCTGCATGAATTCTACTGTGCAGTTGACCCTACATCAGGGTGCTGGTAGATATTGGAGATTGCAAGATGCTATGTGCTAATGGCACAACTAGTATGGGTGAGACAAAAGTGCCATAAAGTCTCACTTGTGGTAGGTTTTCAACATTTTCCTCCTTGTCTAAGTCATTCTCGCGGTGGATAAAGTAAGCCGGGCTTAAGTAATGGTGCGAAGAAACTCGACGACTCTTCCCGCTAGCCACTCTCGAGCTTCTTCTTGCAAGACAGTGTGACCCGTTCCCGGAATGAGGCCAGACAATGGGCTCACAAGCGAGTTCGCTGCCTGATACTTCTTGTTCAACGCAACTTGATCAACCGTTGACGGCACAAACTCGTCCTTTTCCGAGTGTAGCACAAGCACAGGTTTGTTGAAACGGCCCCAAAACCCTATTACTGTTTCGTCATCAAGATCGGAAGAAAAGTAATCATCGGCGCCGCTGTTAAGGTTAATTAGCCTTGATTACTAGCGGTCTGACAGGTGGCCAACATACCCTTTGGCAAACAGGTCGTGGAACCTGCTGGCGGATATCGGTGCGTTCAGCATGGCAATCGAATGCTCAGCAGGCAAGCAGTCGCCGCCTTTGCCCTCGGCAATCATTTTGTTAGCATAGTCAAGTTTGGAGTGCCAGTTTGGAAGAAAGGTATCCAGAGACTCCCTGTCTGAGACAGGTGCTTGAAGAACGAAGCCATCTACGGGTTCGTTGGCGTATTTTGCATATTTTGTATACTCCATACAATCCTATCAATTGTCAGTCTACGTATCCGGGTTGATGCAAATGGATGGAAAAAAATACCTGGCATCCGGTTGAATGGCCGAATAGAATAATCTTGTCCCGACCAATGGAGCGAAGGTACTTGACAAGGGCAGATATATCTAGAACATCGTTTGCCAGGGCTGAGGTCCCGAAACCATCAAACGAGCTTCTGATTCGTGCTTCAAACACAGAGTAACCAAGCTCCGGAGTCTTTTCCAGGCGTCTGGCAACAGTCCGAATATACGGCGTCGAATGAGGGCCATCTTTCAGGCCTCCAATAAAGACGAGCGCATTCTTGGCTGATGTATTTCCCATCTCGTAGGCGACGGCGCCTCGAGCTGGGGACCGGAAAGGATGAGCCAAAAGGGGAAAAGGGCCTTCAGACGCCATTTTGTTTGTCTGGAAGTTCTAGTATCGTAAGTGGGAGACTGGAATTGGAGAACGGGCAGATTAAGGGACTTGGTCTATTCGTGCCTACCTATATATGCAAGGCAGCTCTCCATTTAACTTTCCATGTGATGAGGGGCAAAAATTACGTAGAGGTCCGTCCATGTTACCATGGCGGGGGAGCTTTCGGCGGGGAGTCAGAGCTGCGATAGCATTTGCAACAGCTCAAGGACGGGATAGAGGCCTGAGCACAGTATCGAAAAGAGCTGTTAGCAGCTGCAGCAAGTAGAGGATGTACGATACTTCGCTCAGTTTCTGCTAATACCACCTCGTTAGCGTCCGTCTTGCATAGGGCTTAGGCAGCTTAGAGTGGCAAATACAGTATACAGACGATTTAGATACTGTACTCCAAGCAAGCTTCACTCCATAGGCCGTTCTTAGTCTACTCTTGACCTTTGACACTGGCAAAACCAGCCAGAGGCTCTTGTGAACGTTGATACCGCTGTATTTACAGGATTTCAAAACATCTCTTCTCATTTCCGGCATCTGTAACCGCACAAACAGAGGGCGATAAGAGACCATGTGCAGGTAGCTGCTCGAAAAGCTTTGCTGTTTAGTGGACCATGGAGACAACTCCAGCCGCAAGAGAACGAAATGAGCTGTTTCAAAAGGTGTGTTGCTGCATATTTTTGAAGTATGTCCAATGCTAATACAATGTAGCTGAAGCCATGCTGTGTCAAAGCAAGCCAGCTGGCGATTCGGGAGCCTGAGGACCCGAAGAGCCATCGAGAGCTGCAGGAACTTGTCAAGCAGATCCTCGACATCTTGAATGAGCAGATTTCGACAAATCCGCTGGCCCTGGATGAGAAACTAGCAGAATATGTCTCCTTTCCACTGTCTCACATTTTTCGCCATTCGGAACGATACCCCATGAGTCTGGTGGAAGACTGCGTCAGATGCTTGACTATTCTCATTGTTCACGGCTGGAAGTCCAGGATATCTGCCAAGCTCGTGCAGCAGCTGTTCAGTTTCCTCATATTCATCATCGATGGCGTCCCGGGATCCGCCAAGAGAGATGTGCCCGAAGAAACAGTGCTCGAGGCGTTCCGTGCCGAAACCGCACTGCTTACTACCGCAGGGTCATCCCTCATGGCCGCAGCAGGACTCTCTGAGCCTGAGTCGATACCGGTGCTGGGCCATGGAATTACAGTCATCTTAGATGGAGTATCAGAAGGTGCCACTCCAGAAATCCAGCGCGAGGCACTGCGAACGTTGGAGGCCCTCTATGGGGCTATCAAGGAGCACGCTGCGCTAGCCAGCTTCCTACCAGGAACAATCTCGTCGCTTGCCAAGGTCCTATCAAAGCCAACTCGATATAAAAAACTAGTTCTAGCAAAATGCCTTGGAACTACGCAAGTTGTATTAACAAAGGTGCTGTCTGATATGCGTACACGATCCATTCTCGCCACCGAGACGGAAAGCCAGAGTGACGCTGATAAATCCAAGGTGCTTGGCCCTGCGTGGCTCAAGGCTACTGTAGCCCAAGTTCAAGTGGCCTTGTCAGTGGTGATGAAGCTACGAACTCACGAGGCATCTGAGGTCCGTGAGGCCCTAGGGAAGCTGTGCATTACTTTGCTGGATGAATGCCACACTACGCTATCAAACTGCACTCCCATACTCATCGAGACATCAGTGATCCTTGACCAAGGGTCCGATCAAGATTTAATGACGGAGACAAATTTGAGATATCTGGTGAATATATATCCGGAGCTGGGAGAAACCATCAAGTCGGCCGTCTACGGCTGGATGTCGAGCCTCCCCCGTCTTATGCAGGCAAGCGACGAAAAAGTAAAGGAACAAGCAGTCTATAACCTGTCAAAGGGGATTGAGCTACTTCGAAGCCTGAGGATTGAATCGTCTACGCTCGATGATTCAATCGCCATCACTTTGAGAGAAAGCATAATGTCCATCGTCACTACGTCTAAAAGCCACCACTCTAGCGTTAGCAATCATGTGCTCCTGTTGGAAGATGGGTCTTCAGATTCGCCTACATCGAACCAGTCGCAGTTTCAACCAATTCTATTGGGCTATGAAGGCCAAAAGCGACTAAAGAGCGAAGTAATGGATCTTTTACGAACTGTTGGCTCCATGTCGCAGCATGCAAAGATTGCTGCCGATATGCTGGACTGCGTTCGAGAATCAACGGCTCTCAATCAAATGACTGCATATTGGCTATGCTTTGAACTGGTCAAGGCAGCACATGCTCATTCTGAGCACACGGATGCGCTGCTTGATCTATCAGCTTTTACCGACCAACCAGAAGAGATAAACGAAGTATATGACGAATTATACGACTTCTCGGTCCAAGTATTGGACTCACATACTGAGACGGGCGAGACTGATTGGCGCTTAGAAGCTATTGCTCTCGAAATCATGGCGTACGCTGCACACAGGTCTGGTGAAAAGTTCAGACCAGAGCTCATTGACGTGCTCTTCCCCATCGCCACGCTTCTGGGATCAGACGAAGGTAACCTTCAACAGCATGCCATTGCTACACTGAATAGCATAGCCCTGTCATGTCAGTATTACAGCGTCTCTGAGCTGATTATTGACAACGTTGATTACATGATCAACTCCGTCTCGCTACGCCTGAATACATTGGACATCTCCCCAGCATCAACGCAGGTAATGAAAATGATGGTGCGGCTGGCGGGGCCTCGTCTAGTGCCGTTCCTGGACGATGTTGTTGAGTCAATGTTTGCTGCTCTGGAAAATTATCATGGATATGCGTCTTTTGTGGAAAGCCTCTTCTCGGTCTTGAAGGAGATTGTTGACCAGGCAGCCCAGGCAGACGGACGGCTTTTAACCCACGTTGAGCAATCATCTGTCAATCACAAGAAAGAAGCACAGAAGATGGAAGACTTGGAAACTCTCTTAAAAATTCTCGGTAAACGCAAAGAGAGAGAGGAGCGGGATAGGATAGAGATGGAAAACATGGAGGCTAGAGGTGGACATCCTGGAGTTCCGTGGACGAGCGATCTGGCACAAGGAGATAATGAAGATAACCAAGGGCAGGCTGAGCCTCCCAGGGACGAAGAGAAGCTGCCCAATTCTCCTACATACCGGCTTCTACAGCGAGTGGCATCGCTCACGCAGCACTACTTGACTTCTCCGACACCGACGCTCCGAAGATCACTGCTGGAGCTTCTCACTACAGCTGCATCCGTTCTTGCGGCCGACGAGGACTCATTCCTTCCCCTTGTCAATGCAATCTGGCCTGTGGTTATCGCCAGGCTACATGATCCCGAGACATTCATCGTCATCGAGGCATGTGAAACTTTGTCTGGGCTGTGCAAAGCGGCGGGAGACTTCCTGAGTACTCGGTGGAAGACAGAGTGGGGAGACGGACTCCGCGACTGGTGCCGGAAAATCAAGCAGCAGGCCTCGAGAGATAAAAGCCGCTCAAACATGTCTTCTTCACAGGGCCTCTCACAATCTATGCCAAGCAAGGAAATTGTGATTCCCATAAGATCAAGCGATGGTCTTGAAGTCCAGCCAATTTCCGTAAAGTCTACAGAGCCTCGCGGAGGAGGGCTCGGACAGCATGCTTCTCCGGTGAGAACATGGGAAGCGGCTGTGAAGCTCCTCACGGCCATTATATCGTATGTGAGAGTCGAGGATGAGATGTTTGATGAGATTCTGGACCTGCTTGCCGATGTCATGGAAAGGAATCAGGAGGTGAGAGATGCGCTTGAGGTTATCAATGCGGATGCGGTTTGGGCTGTGAGGTATGAGCGCGGGCTTGTGGAGGCGAGTCCGGCGCCGGTGTTGGAAGGGACTGTGTTTCCAGAACTGAGATGTTAGAGAGAGATTGAACAAAAACAGTCCAACTTGTGACGTATCATAGGTATCTACTTGTGCAAGCTCATACAAATTACTACCTCTTAATGGAAAACACATGACTTGATGATGTACACATCGTAAGCTTTAACTTCTTTCTTCCTTTCTTACATCATTCCCTTCCATGCTCGCTACATACAAGTGTTACAAACAAACGCTACATATAACCTAGATCTTGGGCAGAGGGTCAAAATAGCCATCCACCACCGCCTGCAGCAGCTGATGCGCAATCGCCTGCTTCGGCGGCACGCACAACTCCCCCGTATACCCCACGGGAATAGGATCGCCCAACGCGCTGGTGCCATTCACGAGCGCATCACGCACCTCCTCAAAGGTAAACCACTTGGCCGCCTCCAGCTCCTTGTCCAGCAGCGTAATATCCTCGCCATCCGGCAGCGCCTGGGCAATAGCGCCAATCATCAAGCTCGAGGGATACGGCCACGGCTGGCTCGAATGGATCGTCACGCGGCCAACCCGCACGCCGGCCTCCTCCCAGACCTCGCGGCGCACCGAATCCTCAATGGACTCGCCCGGCTCGAGGAAGCCGGCGAGTGTGCTGTGCCACTTGGGCGGCCAGCGGGCGGAGCGGCCGAGCAGCACGCGCTTGGCGTCGGCGGAGACGACGGCGGCGATCATGGTCGGGTCGGTGCGCGGGAAGCAGACGTTGGAGATGCCGTGGCGGGTTGGGCAGTCTGGGCGCTGGATGGGCGTGGAGCCGCCGGCGAGGTCGTGTGTTGGGCACACGCGCTTGTAGCCGGCCTCGACGGAGAGGTTGAGGTTGCCGCAGCCGGCGCAGTGGAGGTTGCGGGCGTTCCAGTCGATGAGGGAGCGGGCCTGGGCGAGGGTGGCGGCTGTGGTTGAGATGTGTTAGTGGTAAGTTTTATATATGAGTGTGTGTGTGATATGATGAGAGAAAGGGATGATAGAGGTAAGTCTCTCATTGAGATGAAGTGTGTTTCTCATGAGACTCATCAGATGATATGAGAGCAAAAGATGCATATCATACCTGCGTCCGGATGGAGCGTCATCGTCCGCACATTCTCCTGCACCGAGTATCCCTTCTCCTGCGCCTGCTTCAAAAACGTCTCCGCCTCCGCCGCATATTGGCCCTTGGGCGTCACATCCAGCGCAAAGTACGGCTGCCCGTTCACAACGCCATGCTTGGTCGTCTCCAGATCCACGCCCTTTGGCGTGCTCGGCAGCAGGCCCAAGAACAGCAGCAGCGGGCTCGGCCTCGTCGAGTCGAAGCTGTCCTGCTTCTCCTGGTCGGTGCGCCCAAAGGGGTCAACCCCAATCAGTGGCTTAACGTCGTCGTGGTTGAAAAAGGCCAGCCGCGTCGGGTCGGCAATCAGCGGGTTGAGGTCGCGCAGCGCGACGAACTGCGTCGTGGGCGCCGTGGCCGCGCGGCGGATGAAGGCGATGTCGTTGCGCAAAAAGGAGAAGCGGTTGAGCAGGCCGCCGCCGTAGTAGTTGATGACCTCGCGGCCGAACTTGCGCGAGATCATGGAGTCGTCGTGTTCCAGGGACGGGGCGCCTGGGGTGAAGACTTTTGACATGATTATTATTTTGGAGAAAGGTGGAAATGGAGGTTTTGGTTTTCCTGGTGGAACAGACGAAAGATGGAAGAAAGACGGAAAGGTTTCCAAAAAACGGATTTCTTCTTACTGTATTGAAAGAGCAGGAAAGAAAACAGGAATAGTATCTCCAACAGAAAAAAAGATTGGGGTGTGTTGTAAAAGGCGTCGATTATTGCGTTGATCTTGTTCTGTCCCGTTTTGAGAGTGGATTTCTAATGACGTCCTTCTAGCTTATTCCTTTATGGACTCCAAGCAATCGTGTACTCTAATTATGACCTCTCTCTAGCGCAGACAGAGCTGTGAAATCGGCTCAATGAGCAAAATTGAGCCCTGCAATCGGGGCTGATTAATATACATATAAGTATATCGGAATCGTTAACCCAAAGCAAAAACCACCACCCCCACCAAATCTAGATGAGGGGTTCCAGAGCTGCCGGAATCTTGCTCGTCCATTACTCTGCCCTCGCTCCGTTACTCATCACGGCAAGGCACCAAGCCTCGGGATTCGGGGTTTCTTCTCATTCTTCCTCGAACACTGACAAGGGGAGCAAAAGTTGGGGTAACGGGAGTAATAATTAGGCGGCTGCAATGGACAGCTCTCGGAGCGTCTTAGGTGTGGGCTGACATCTGCAACGCCATTGCAAGCTAGGATCGTGGATAAAGGCCCCTAGTCACAATCGGGGCGGCGGCCCAAGGGTCCATCGTTAAGTGGGCAAGTATGCCGCAATGATGCCGCAGTTTTCGGAGCCCAAACTTGGAGAGCCAAATCGAGGAAGTGTGGCCTGGCGAGATGTCGGGTTGCAGAAAACAGCAGCCGTGGGTAGGCTTGCCGGCTAAGAGGACTTTCGATCGGAACACTCAATCTCTTGATCCATGTCTTAGAAGCAGATCTGCCAGGTGATGAGACACTTGATCGGATCGATTCAATCCTTGATCTGAATCTAAGACGTGGCTAATGCAGCTTCGGAGCATTGGCAGATAACCCACAGTATAACTTTATAAACGCATGGCCTAACCTTGTTGATTGGGGATATAGTGAGAACAATAATTGGATAGGCATGAATTATGGGTAGGTAGTTCAGATTCAGAGGCAAGAGTATGGGGTGGTGCAAGCAAGCACAGAAGTATCAAATTCCTCTTTTCAAATGGCCTACACGCCAGAAACTTATTATGGTCCACAACTGCCCGGGTTCTCCAGCGTCATTTTCTCTCATAGTCTCATAGGGTTCTCTCCTGCCGTGAACCTCGGAGCAAACTCAAAAGCTACTGGAAGCATTATTAACTTCTTCCTCTGTAAGATGAGTGTCACAATTGTTGAGTTATACCTGATGACCAAGTGTATAAACTTGCTTCTAAAGAAACAACTCGGCTGGTGTTCTGGTTACATGTTATTACTTGTATTGCTTTAGTTGATATTGCACATTCTAGGACACAACTAACCTGTATCGAATGGCATCATGCAGACGCAGGAGTGGTAAGCAAACGGATGTACAATGTGTCTATTTCTCCCTCAGTGAGCTGCTCTAGTCTCTTCCTGTTAAACAATGGCGGCAGCAAACTTAGACTTACGTCTTTCTTATTTTGTTTTCCTAAAAGTCCTCCAAGTACCGATTGTACTTTAATTGGGCATCCGCACGGCGTAGAACCAGCCCTCGTCGGTGACATACCATCGACAGTCACCCAGGTGGTCAATAGTAAATCGGTTGCGCTGAGTCCAATTACCGTCAACTTCGCGAACATAGTAGAAACGGGATGGGTCATCGTCCGACGGCTTAAACTCCTGCGGTTCGAACAGCTTGTTTGCGTGGGCAAACTGGTGCTGTCGCACCGTCTCTTCGCCAGGAGTACGGCCCAGACCAGACACATCGGGGATTTGGCCACCGTTACCTGTAAAGACGGGCATGCCGCCGACGCCAGACAGACCCATGGCGGGAACAGCAGCAGGCATTTGGTGAACGGGGATGGCAGCAGCAGCAGCCGGCTGTCCGCCGATCATGACTGGCTGTTGGCCGACGAAGGGCTGGGGGACGACGGCAGGCTGCTGAGCAACAACATAGCTGGACTGCGCGACTGGGATGCCGGCAACGGTTGGCTGCTAGATAATAGACAAATGTTAGCAGTGGACTTGATATAGTGACAAGTTGCTATAGTGAATGAATCAACGACAGATCGGAATGTGGGACAAAAGTCCAAGTCCAATTCGCAAAAAGATTCGAGATGAGAAGCAAACAAACGAGCCACAGTATCCAGGCAGGCAAGCAGCTTCTTTGGAGATCGATCCAAAACAGAGAAGAAAAAAAAGAACCACATCGAGAGGAAGCATTTGCGCTGCGGGTCGACTTGCATAGTAAGTGAAGCCGTTGTTATAATAATAAAACGTCTTTGGCATCACGACGGTGGTGGAGCAGGCAGCAGGGGCGGAAACAAACTGTACCGAAGGGAGACCGACTTGAACAGCAGCGGGCATGAAGCCGCCGTCAAAACGAGGCACGTAGACGTGGGGAATGGGCCCAAATGTGGTATCGGGCACTGGAGGCTGGAAGTTGACGCCATGGGGCATCGGCGCTGCGTTTTGATAGTCGGCCATGCTTGCGGCGGTGGTGAAGTGATGCTGAGACAGAGGCAGATGCTGATGCTGGAGAGGGAATCCGACGTAGGTGGTGAAGGGAGCAGCAGAAGTCTGTGGCAGAGCGGAAAAGGGGCTGAAGTGAGTCTGCGGTGGCGCGCAGGTGAAGCCAGGTGCAAAGCCGGGTGCCGCAAAGCCTCCTGCAAACGGCTGGCCAGGCAACTTGACGCTCTGGGTCGGGTCAATGGACGTGTGCCACTGGTCAGAGGCGAGCGAGCTGTTGGGCGCAACGCCGAGTTGTGGGAAGCTCGAGGGCTGGTTGTCGGGCGCGGGAGTTGCGGTGTTGACGTTGATGCTCTCGCCGTTGCTGGTGGTGGAAGTGGTGGTGGAGGAAGAAAAAGGAGCGGAGGAGGAGGAAGAAATCGCGGGCTTAGTATCAGCGCTGTTGCCTGGGCTCAGGAATTGCACCTGACGAAGGGGCTCGCCTCCAGTCTTGAGCCGTCGAGGAGTCTTGGGAGACTTTGCAGCGGCTTCGGGCATTTTATGAGGGCGAGAGGCGAGATGGAGCAATTCCAACAATGCGGATTGTAGTGATAAGAAGAAAAGAGATGGAGGAGATGAGGAAGCAAGAGAGAAAAGGCGTTTGTTGTCAGGCCGGGCTGAGAGTGAAGAGGCTGGGGGTGCGAGCTGATAACTGGCAGACTGGTCCATTCACTTTCATCATCTGAAGACAGCTGCCAGTAAATCCGTGCCATTGCTGCGACCACTATGTCTGGGAAAATCTTGACAGCGGCTGCGCTACTCTGGTTGCCAACTCTTTCGCGTTTTGGAGAAGAGCTGTAGCTCCTCGAGGAGGAAGAAAAAGGGGGAGAAGAACCATCACAGCAACAAGTAGTAGATATCAACATAGAACAAACAAAGGTGCCGATTGAAGAGTGAAGAGATGCGCAGTAAAGGAAAGAAAATGTAAAAACCAAGACGGAAACTTGAAGCAAATAAAAGAACAAGACTTCACTCACACATCTCTGCAGAGACCACGCCTGCCCATCATGCACCCACACATGCTGCTCCGGCATGGAATCCAACGGGTCTTCGTACTCGGTCCACGTCCACGGAAAGCAAGGAAGACACATTTTGACGGCTTCAGAAGAGTAGCATGAGCTCAAACTCGAGTCACGGGCCTGGAATGAACAAAGAAAGAGGAGTGTTGCCGGTGTGATTTATTCCAGTGAGCTCGTTTAGGCAGAGTTGTTGAGGGTGAAAAGTGGTCAACAGGAATTTTCATACTTTTTTGATTCTATTGTTCTTTATTTGCCTACCTGCATTTTGGCTGCTTGCCAATTGACGCGCACTTCTGACAAGAATGCCTCGTTAGTTGACAGTCTCGAACCACTCCAGCCGTTTGCTCAGCTAATTAATTGCAAGCAACTACCCAGTAGCCACTGTGCAGAGGCTGCTATTTATAGGTGCCCGAGGCTTTTGCTCCTCTTCGACCATGCCTCCAATCTCGATTCATTCCCTAAAATCTCGTATTTCATCTGCTCAGTGAAGTTTCACCAAATAACAATCACAACGTCCCGTCCCAGATTAGATCCTCGTCCAAGTTGCGTCGAAATTCACTTCCATCCGATCATTATTAAACTCATTTTTCTTTCTTTCTTTTTTTTTTTCTCTTGAATCCAAACTTTGAAATTGATGACCAGACGCCCCCAGCCCTATATGGTCTAAATGCTTCGCTGACCGGTTACCCGATATAATGTACAGTTCACTTTGGGGAGGAGAGATCATCTATCATCACCATATAGGTGTTTTCCTTTTTTTCAGTCCAAACTCCTCTCGACACGTCTGGCACCAAGGTTGGAGGAGGCATCGCCTTAATTTTTTCCCCTTCTGTCCTGGTTGCTTTTTCAGGTCTCCATGCCCCTCCTACCAATTGCCATTCCCAGCTATTAGAAGACTTTTGTTTTTTTCCTCCTTTGAGCCGCCATATTTTATGTGGTAGATTAAATAGTGGTTCGTGTGTCGCTTGAAGAGTAATTCCTCTCTTGTGTGCTATTCGTTACAATGTCTGTTTCGGTGATATTATTACAATGCGGCGTGCTCGGCATGTCGCTCAGGGACGGGGAAGAATGACTGTCGTGCAATCTGTGCAGATAAAACATCACATCAGCTATTGGCCAAACATCTCGTCTTACGGCTTATGCAGCCGTCATGCAGGTCGACTTACCGCCCAGACACCGGCCAGGGAGGCCACTAGACCGCCGGAAATCATCATTGGTCGAACACCCCTGGTGCTCTTGAAAACCATACCGCTGATTCCACCGGCAGCGATTGTGTTGAAAGCATCGTGCTCACCGCGTAGGAACCCAATCAGCGAGTTGATGCAGTTGTATGTGATGGCGACAACACCGGCGTTGTTGCCCAGGAAGGGACCCCGCCTTGTCATGGCATTGAGGACGGCATTGAGTCGCAGCTTGGGGGGCTGGCCGGCAGACCTCCGCAAGCCTTCCTGGAATCCCCATGCACCTCCTATCGACAGTGCCGTCAGGTAGGTAATACCGGTGCCGTAGCAAAGGTCGTCGGTGAATCCTCGAGAGGGGAGAACGGATTGGCTACCCGGCAGGTCGGACAGCGTTGAGTCTTCGAGAGAGAGGTATTCCAGGGTGTCTCTGTTCAATCCGGCGAGGGGATGTAGTTGTGAAGGATCCGCAAAGGCCGAGCTCTGCAAGAAGGACTCAACGCCCGCGCCTTGGGTTGGGTCGTAGAGGTTGGTGGAGGGAGGGGCAGCATCGGGAGTGAAGGGCTGGTGTTGCTGCTGCTGCTGCTGCTGCTGCTGGGCAGGCTTGTTGCCTCCGGTAAATGCATTCCATAGAGAAGACATGCTGGGCGACTGTGCTGGGCCGAAAAGTGCTTCGGAAACGAGTGCTGCGAGCGTCGATGACAAGATGAAGTCTCGCAAAACCGGTCGCAAAGCCGGAGGATCCTGCTAAGGCGTCTCCGACTCTGGCTAAAAAAATTTCGGGGACAAGCGCAGGGTGGTCCGTGCGCGGCTCTTTTACACTTTACACTTGGGAAACACGCTTATGTAACGATGCGCTTTTGGATGCACAGAAGCTTGGAGAAAATCAACTTCTGGCTGAAATTGATAGATTGCGCATGGAAGATGTCGCGCTTTTTTACAGATAGAAAGCGGCAAGCAAGGGCCAATGCATGCAGTTAAGGACAAGAAACTGGAGCAGTATGTCCTCTGTTGCACAAAAGGAAAGAGCAGAACTCAGCCCTTATTTGTCTGTGTTTTTAACCGCCAAAATCGGTTTGACAATTTTTTTTTCAGGCAAGGTACGGCTCTGCAGCATTTTCCAGATTTTACCGCTGAGAACGCACAATTATCCAACTTTTACGTGCAATTCCTCCATAGCATTCAACCCCAAATTCACTCGCTACACAAAATATCGATAAAAGGTAAAAGTATGTTGAGAGACACCCACAGTCACAGCCCTCTAGAGGCGTCGACTCGCGGCTGATAGGAAAAGTGTATCACATGGTATTTTATTTAGGAGGCCGGGAACGGAAGGAAACCCACAGAGAATCAGGTTAACCCTCAGCAAGCCGCATAGCGGAGCCGCCATTTGAATTATTAAAACACTTGACGGTGTAGGAATAACCCAACTGATGATGTAGAAGGAAGAAAGAAGAAAACCAAAAAGTTTTCGCAGCTTCTCGCGATTTTATTCATGAACCAGAAGTGGGGCGGATGCGCTAGTCTATTCCAGGGATGGAAATTCATTTCGCCGGAGATGCTCAAAGGTGCAAGGCAAGACGAGGCCAATTCTTCTCATGAGAAGGATTAGGACTTGTTTGAACCTGATGAAATGGTAAGAAGAAAAATTGTCTGAATTATGTGGCTGAATAAGGCTCTATCGTAGAAATCGTTATAAACGGCTACGCTCCCTTTCCTGCGCCTCCCATCGCTTCTCAGCTTGTATGTTTTGCCAAAACCTCCATGATGCCAGCACCACTGCCAATGGCGGGCATCCCAGCATCAGCCACGACCACCACTCTGGATTTGCTGCCTTGAGCTTGCGCAACTCTTCATCCAGCTGCGTTTTTAAATCTTCCTTTGATCCGTCATTCCAGATTGCTACTCCTTTGCCTGGTCCTGCAGATAAGCACCTCTCTGCCTTTAGCCGAACGTCCATCTGGCTCTTGATTCTGTTCTCTGCATCCTCTCTGCTAAGATCTGGGTTTCTGTCCATAAGTCTCTTGAGCTGAGTCTCCGGCTCTGTAACGGCAACCACCATTGTCACTCCGCAAAACTTATCCAGCTTGCTTTCAAACAGTAGCGGGACATCGAGCACCACCGCCCAGTGTCCCTTCAAGTAGCAGGCCGTTACCATCTTGACCATGCCCAATCGTACTGCCGGGTGCACAATGCTAGAGAGCACCGCCCTGTTCTTCTGCATCTGGGGCTCGTCGCCGAAAACAAGTCGTCCCAGGACAGCCCGGTTCAGTGGCCGGCCCTTGCCGTCTGGTCCATTCTCTGGCATGGTATCTGATGCTGGGAGAAGCAGATCGGGTGCCAAGGGGCCAAAGTGCTTGACGATTGCACGATAGCCCCTGGTGCCGGGCTCGACCACTTCTCGGGCTAGGACATCTGCATCGACAATAGGCAATGAGTGAGGCGCTGATGAGAGCAGCGATGATACTGTGGACTTGCCGGTCGCAATGGACCCAGTTAAGCCGATAATGAGCATGCTTTTTGGCGAAGTGACCGCTCAGATTGACCGCTGTCGGTAAACCTTAGCAGAGCCGGTTACCTAGATTCGGCAAGATGAGGTTTGTAAAAGAGACGCAGAGGTTACGCAGTGAATATGCGATTATTAGCCGAAGCCGTCCGACGCTCGCGGGGAGCTTGTAAAATATGTGAAATATGTGGGTTGAGGTTCGTCATTCACAATGAGTGGCTATGGATAAGGAGTGTTTAAGATGGACACTCTAATGACAAAGGAGGGATTCAAAACGTAAACTCAAAGAACAGAAATAGATTAGTAGTTTGCAAGTTTATCAGTAACCAAGTCCTACTACTAGTAGTAGGTGTAGGCGGCGGCTAAAAGTCAAGGCAAAGTAACGTTGAACATTACTGGCCTATACCTTTTCTCAGCCACATCACCTAGACCTCGGCCTTGCGTTCGTGCATCAGCCTTTTATGGATACACTGGCCTAAAATAACTGTAGCTGTCAATAACATTTCTATGATACTTGGAGGCTTTTGATGGTAATTGTTTTGTGCGGTGCAAACCATGCCGAGAAACCTAGCCTTTCTATTTCGCTGTAGAGCATTGCAAGGTTGAAGCATGATACGCCACCCAACTTTACGCCACAGTGTGGCGCCCGGGCGAAAATCTCCTTGCATGTGTTCCGGCTTTCTCCTGCTTAGCCGAATTGTCAATGGCGCCGTTTTGATTGGCCGTGCAGCAACTTCCATCAAGACCCTATAGCCGAGGAAGAGCCACTTCCAGCTTCTTAGCACTTTCATGACGACGAGACTTCAAGCCGCCCGAAGCTGCAGCTCTCAATTGATCGGTCGCCGCAAGGGAATCGACTTTCCACTCTCAACTATCGAGGCTCGCTCAGCCGCGTCGTTTGGCCGGATCTGCTCTATCAAAGAAGCAATTGCCAGGGCAAACCCAAATCCCAAACTCCAACACGCAAATCTACATCTTTCCGACACCCATCGTCGCCACCGCAACCATGGCCGCTCTCCGCTCCTCTTCACGAATCCTCAGCTCCTCCAGGGCAGCTTTCCGACCCAGCGCCGTCTTCTCGCGCTCCATGGCGTCGGTGAGCGAGACTGAGCAGCCCAGGACCAAGTCATTCCAGATCTACCGATGGAACCCTGATACCCCGACCGAGAAGCCCAAGCTGCAGACCTATACCATCGACCTCAACAAGACCGGTCCCATGATCCTCGACGCTCTGATCAAGATCAAGAACGAGCAGGATCCTTCCCTGACCTTCCGGAGGAGTTGCCGAGAGGGCATCTGTGGAAGCTGTGCCATGAACATCAACGGCCAGAACACCCTGGCATGCCTGTGCCGAATCCCCACCGAATCGGCCTCGGATGTCAAGATTTACCCTCTGCCTCACACCTACGTTGTCAAGGATCTGGTCCCGGACTTGACTCACTTCTACAAGCAGTACAAGTCCATCGAGCCTTACCTGCAGCGCGATACCCCCGCTGAAGATGTATGCCGACGCCCCTCCCCAGATTCTGACATGTGAATGAGACTTGAGCTGACAATTTCAAACAGGGTAAGGAGTATCGCCAGAGCAAGGCTGACCGAAAGAAGCTGGACGGTCTCTACGAGTGCATTCTCTGCGCCTGCTGCTCAACTTCCTGCCCCTCCTACTGGTGGAATTCCGAAGAGTACCTCGGCCCCGCCATCCTGCTGCAGTCCTACCGATGGTTGATCGACTCCCGAGACGAGAAGACGGCTGCGCGCAAGGCCAAGCTTGAGAACTCGATGAGTCTGTATCGTTGCCACACCATCCTCAACTGCACGCGTGCTTGCCCCAAGGGCCTGAACCCCGGCAAGGCCATTGCCGAGATCAAGAAGTCGATGGCCATCGGGGCATAAGAGAAATAAAAAAGGTGTTGGGTTGTAACTGGTGGCGCATTCTTTCAGCTTGTATCTATAGGTAGCTTGTATAGGTAGCTAGTAAATTAATTACACAATAACGTGTGAAGTATGACCGTGTTTGAAGTGTACAATGTGTGTTTCATGAAACGGCTGTCCAAATAAGGTATACAGATATGGCTGATGTACGGCACAATCAAACGACTCTTTGTGTCTAGAGTTTGAGGAATCTCTGAGAATTTGAAGATACCTACCTATATATGGGTAGAATCGTGGGATTTAGTGTTTCATAGACATTGCAATAGATCTGTACGGTGCAACTCTTTCTCTTGTAACGGGAGTCTACGCCTTATGAGACTCGCACCAGTATATTGGTGGATGCGTGCATCACATATTTTAACTTCTATGGTATTAGAACCAATTTTCTGTAACGACAGTGCGACGGTCTTCTAACTCCCATTTTTACTTGGGCCTTTACTTGGGTACTAGACTATTCTTAAACGGCTGATTCAATCCGTGCCTCTGATTCAGTTCCCACCGCTGTGATCGAGCCACATTCTCTTTCGCAAAGTCTTTGGATTTTTGGCCATGTTCTTCTAGCTTTGTTTTACTTTGGAATGTCCCCAGCTAGGTGCCCAGCCCGCCATTTTTATCTCTCAAGATCAACGGCCGTTGCGTACTATTCGTCTAGAGCAGACAAGGTTTCAAGATCTCAGTTGTTATGAAGGTCTCGTGGTATGGCATTGAGGCTGTAGCTATTGCCACATGGCTTTTATCACGCGCTTTATTATTAATATTACTTATGTTAATGTGACCGGCTCGTACATTCCAAACATTCCAAGAGTCGGCCGTTATGGCTAGCATACATACCCAGTGAAGCACCAATGTCTCAATCATGCTCACCCCTTATAAAGTCAACGCGTCCTTAGCAATGTCCATCAAGACAACTTACTTCACTCTCTTCAATGAGTGGAGGGCAAGCGCGACTCGTTCTCTAATACGATCGAAATAAGCTGGGACTTTATACTCACTTATACAAACAAATATCTCATTGGCCAAAGTTCCCTCCAAAGCCGCCTATTCTTACTATCATCACTCATTATCTTCCTAGCATTTTTATCTCACGATGGCTACCAAACGCTCGATTCTGGCTGCAGCTCTTGTAGGAGGGGTATCTGCCCTGGTAGCGTCCAAGGCGACTGACACAATCTGCCGAATAATCTGCATCGATGGGGTGAATGAGTGCGGCCAACCATGGGGAGGGTACGAGACTTTCTCTTTTCTTTTACATAATTTCCTTGATCCATGATGCCTCGTGCGAGAATGGGAGATATACTGACATAAGAACATAACCAGCTGCTACGATCCCTGTATCAAGCCAGCTCCTGTACCACCTCCTTGCGTGCCTCCCATGATCACGACTTATTATCCAACTCCTATACCAACACTCGTACCAGGAGAGGTTTCGAATTGCAGCACAATCACTGTGTGTGTGGATGGCATAAATAGCTGCGGTATCCCATTCGGCGGGTATGATTTCTCCCTTCATCTATGAGCCCGGCAGCGGTTAAACTAACATGATTGACTCAACACAGCTGTATTCCCGATTGCAAGCCTTGGAATATCTTCACGCCTCCATGTCCAGCCGATCCCACGAGTATTGTCCCGTGGATCCCTGACACTCCAGGCTTTCTCCCATGGTGGCCTGCTATCCCGACGAGCTCGATGAAAGCACAGGACCCTACTTCGGTCCAAGAGCCAACTGCGGTACCAGAATTGACCGTGGTACCAGTGCCGACTGTGACAGCAGAGCTGCCAGCTGCGGTACCAGAACCAACTACTGTACCAGAACCAACTACTGTACCAGAACCAATTACTGTACCAGAACCAATTACTGTACCAGAGCCGGCTACTGTACCAGAACCAATTGCAGTACCACAAGAGATAGGGGCACCGGGTGTTAATGTGATACCAGAAAATGTTGTGCCATGGAGTATAGAAGGATCTCAATGGTGGTAGTCAAGCAACTTTAGAGATTAATAAACCTGTCCCTTCCATATCCAAATTCTCATGTAAAATCACAACCTAGAACTCATACATTTCCAATCATGTGCTCTAGTAATATGAGCTTCTATGCGCTCCGCCCGCGGATGCCGAACCCTCCACCAAGGTTTCGTCGTCTGAGCTTGCTTCGCCACCAACGCTTTCGGTTTGGTCTGGAGGAGCCCGCATAGCCTCCAACACCTCTCGATCTAGAACAGGGGGTTGATAGGGCTTGATCGTATGAATCTCGCGCCCCGACGGCATTTTATTTATTAGAGCACCAATCGGCGGAATAGGTCGGGTATTCATCTGTGACGCCAGTCAGTTTAGTTTTTTAAAAAAAAAAAAAAACGCAAAAGTCGATGCAGCGTTCTTACCGTATCGTTAAGCTTATTCCACTTCGCGTCCAGCATTTCGAGAACTCTAGTCTCTTCCGACTTGCCGGCATCAGCTCCCCAAGCAGCCTCTCTGTTAACTCGGCGATCTTCTCTCTTCTCGTTAAGCCCTTTGATCGCACGACTAAAGCCTAATCCCTTCTTTTCATCCTTGACCTCCACACCGAGCTCGTGTAAACCGGCACGCGCCCAAGCGATTCCTTCCGCCGCCTCTCCTCCCAGCTCAGCGTCAATGCCAAAGAACCGACAAGCTTTAGCTCGGCTAGTTCGCCGCAGATCCTCCAGGTATCGTACGAATCCAGGGCTGATGCTGCCGGTTGATCCTGATTTGACTGACTGGCACAATGCCGCGGCCTTGGCAGCATGCTCCGATGCGGCCAGGCAGAGACGGGCATAGAGATGGACTCTGACCTTGGGGATATCCGGGGCCTTGAACATCCACTCCTTGTCATTCTTGTTCCGATCCTGAGCTACAGCTGCGGGATATGGATCATCCTTCAACACGGCCAGCAACGTTGCCTCTGCATGACACAGAGAGGCTAAAGCGCGGAGCGTCGCAGGTGAGATGTCGACACAAGGGGGGCTGCTGGCAACCTGATCACTTCTTGCGGCAATGTAGTCATATATGGAAGCTGATTCTAGCAGGTACTTGGTTGCCGTCGTCATCGCAGCTGTCCGTTCCTGTGCGCCCTGAAACTCTGTAGCTGTGGAATACAGAGGCTGAAGCGTCGCCCTTGCCATTGAGACGTGGGCGAAGCCTAGAGTAGAAAGAGTAAAGTAAATCTCATGTTCTATGGAGATGATTTTGACTCGAGGGCGTTCGCGTCCGGGCACGATATCGCCAGAAAGCGTCGGTCTCCATGAGATGGCCGGCGTCGTCTCCAATATGGTGCTGACAGTCTCGCCGCCCACCGGCTGGTTGCTCAGCCCGGCATCAATGGCAAGGAGATAGGGGAGATACTGCTCCAAGCTGGAGATGACGGCGCGGAGATTCGATGTTTGCGACGAGGGAGGCAGCCGCTTGTGCTTCTTGAGCGCGTCTCTGACAACCCCGCGATATGTGCTTGCGCTGAGGGGCAATGAAGGGTGAGAATCGCAGCCAAAGGACGACGAGAAGGAAAAGGCAGAGGTTGTCGGTAGGACAAACGGAAATGGCATCCTTGGAAAGTCGGTGATTGGTTTACAGCTTGAAGAATTGTGCTGTAAAGCGCAAATGGCGGAGCGAAAACCTCTGGTTGCAGCCGGAGCCTTGGCATTTACATGCTCGACACATGATATCGCGATACAGTGCCGCCAGTTGCTTTTTCTCGTACTGTATTTCACGCTTATCTAGGTGCTAACAGCGAGGAGTTGGTTTTTACAGCAGCGCCAGCTATTAAATATGGCCCCCGCAGCCCACCGTGTCCTCAACACTATAGAGCCTATAGAGTGCTATAGCAGAAAATATCGTATTGAACAATTGTAGACATGGAGTCAAATTCAATTAGCTGCTGCGAGTGTTACTCCCGTAGTGGGATGCGCCAAAACTCTTGAGTACGTACTAGGCAGCTGCAAATTGCATGGCCCCCGACGGCCCGAAGGATTTGAGCATAAGACTGTTGGTGATGATTGTGATGATTCGAGGCATGTGCTCCATACATACCTGTGTGCGTGTACCTACATGCCCCCAATTACACGAAGTTTGAGGAAGCTAACCAGGCACAATCGATACAAACGGGCGCTAACGGCTCGCAATATCACCTTGCTACAGCAGATTGCATAGCTGAAAAGCCCTAAACAATCGGGATTGGCGGCCTCTACTGCTGTCTTACCCCGCTAGAAACTCTGAGAGGCTGGTTCATGTACATGGATGTTAGCCATTGATCTGATGTCACTCCTTTGCAGCCTTGTAGGCTTCGCATATTGCGCGTCACCTTGTTCTCATCCCTTCATAAATGTTTTGAAATTTTACATTCGGTCATGTTATCTTGTCTCTCCCGACCAATTCATTGATACGCAATGAGAATTGCCATCTCTTAGAGTCATGAGCTGCCCGTCTAATAGCGATCGGTCCTTTGGGCCTCAGGTCGATCCTCGATGTAGAACATTCGACTTTACTCTGCTGTTCGAAGACATCTTCTTTGTTGGCCTGCCGGCAATTTTGTTCCTCGTCCTAACACCGGCTCAGATATGGGGTTTGTTCACGAAACGCGCTGCGTATACCGTGAGATCCAGGACCTTGCGGCGATGGAAATCGGTTAGTCTCGATCTTGGCTATTACTGCTGCATGCCTGTGAGCTTACAAGACCTTTCACATAGATAGTATATGCCGCTATCCTCATCGTACAAATTATATATCTTGTGTTCCGATCTCAGCATGTTGCGTTACGGACCAAGCTATCGCTTCCTGCAGACATCCTGAGCTCTGTGGCGACGGTCTCAGCATTTTTGCTGTCTAGGGCAACTCATGAGAGATCGCTTCGTCCGTCAACTGTGCTTGATTTGTATTTGTTTCTTCAAAGCCTCTTGAATATTGCACGCACCAGGACTTTGTGGCTACAAGCGGCTGGGAGCCCTGTCCCAGCTCTGATGACCGTGAACCTTTCATTGACTCTTTTCGCTCTCATGTTAGAATCTATCGAAGAAAAGAAGCCCCTCTTCCAAGGCTCACCAGAGGAGTTTAGCGGACTCTGGGCAAGAATCAGCTTTTCATGGCTGACTTCCTTGCTCAGAACAGGCCATGCCAAGATCATTTCACAGAGTGACTTACCCAACCTTGATACTAGACTTCAAAGCAGGGTACTGCGTCGCCAATTGATAACAACCTGGTCGAAATGTGAGCATCAACAGGAAAGTGAATATACTCATAATGGTACATAATACTAACATCATCTCTCACAGATGATCCAAAGGCCAAACACAGCCTACTTAAAGCTTGCTTTCGCAGCCATCTCTCAACCTTCCCTTCTGCCATGATCCCAAGACTATGCATGACGGCATTTACTTTTTCTCAGCCCTTTCTCATTAAAACTACGATAGAATTCGTTGGAAGTGAGAATCCCAACAGTTACCACGGAAAGGGATTGATTGGTGCATGGGTACTTGTATATCTGGGAATTGCTGTATGTGGATACTTTCATTACGCCAAGCAGATGTGCCGACTGACTGTTCTCTGATACAGATATCGCGGTCTCTATACTACTACGAGGCTTCCAGATTTGTCGCCAAGCTGAGGGGAGGTTTGATTGCCCTCGTGTATCAACGGTCTCTGGACATTCGTGCCACTGAGGGAGGAGATATATCCGCCGTCGCACTCATGGGCACCGACATTGAACGTATAGCAGCCGTGATGGAAATGTTTCACGAAACATGGGCCTGCTTTATCGAGATGATAATTGCATGCTGGCTGCTAGAGAGACAACTCTATCTAGCCTGCCTTGCTCCCATTGCTCTTGTACTAGGTGCGTTTTTATGCGCCGGATTTTGTATGACACCATCTGTTTTTAATGCTAATACTTTGTATAGTCTTCATCTTCATTATCTCGCAAATATCAGTAGCTACTCGGAGGGCACAAGTTGCATGGATCGAAAAAGTGCAAGACAGGCTTCGCGCTACCACAGCCTTACTCGGAGATATCAAGGCCATCAAAATGCTTGCATTACCGCAGGTGGTGTCAACTCTCTTGACCGGCTTCCGAACAAGAGAAATAAAGACATCAAAAACGTTTAGAGAGCTTCTAATTGCCACCCTAATGCTTTGTATGTCTCTCAAAATCTGCGTTCATATCTCTAGACCTTGGTTCTGATAAAAGTTTCTAGCTCTCGCACCAACCAACCTTGCTCCAGCTGCCACATTCACCATATACGTCCTTATATCCGTCTTCTGGCTTCACGAATCATTTTTCACAGCCCAGGCTTTTACTTCTATTGCTCTTATCGGCTTATTGACAGACCCAGTCATAGCATTCATCCAGATCATGCCTCCTATTCTGGGAGTTGTAGGCAGCTTCGACCGAATCCAAGAATACTGCAACTATACAGATGTGAGTCTCAAAGATGAGAACTACTACGAGCCCGGTCATACAGATTATCATGATGAATCCGAAACTCATCTCTTGGCGCCAGACGGGCCCGCTGAGCCATTGGACGCTCCTCACGACGATGCAATCTCATTGCATAGCCAGGGATTCAAATGGAGCGAGAACGGACCAGTAGTACTCAAGGATATCCAAGTTGACATAGGTAGAGAAGCCATAACTGCAATAACTGGCCCGGTGGGAAGCGGCAAGTCGTCTTTCTTGAGTAGCATCTTGGGCGAAATGATCGACCTGTCCCCGGAGAATCGACAGAGAGCAATGCAACCGTACTGTAAGCATATTGCGTACTGTTCCCAGCAACCGTGGCTCGAACACAAAACTATTCGTCGGAATATTCTCAGCTCTTCGTCTTATGAAAAGAAATGGTATGATGAAGTTGTCTCTGCCTGCGGCCTTGGTGCAGATTTAAAGCAGCTACAAAGAGGAGATCAAACGGAGATCAGTAGTAGAGGTCTCAATCTCAGCGGCGGACAAAAGCAACGCATAGTCAGTACTATCAGTCGATTACCAAAAATCTTCGCAGTGTATACTAACGCATATGATGGATGTAGGCTCTCGCTCGAGCCATCTATTCAAGAAAACGGATCATCCTACTCGACGATATATTTAGCGGCATGGATGCTCATACAATCGACATGATCTCTGCCCGTCTGCTTGGCAAGGGGGGAATTCTTCGCAGGCAGCAAACCACTGTCGTCTTGACCACGCACCACCGTATGTGAACCGTTCTCTTCCATCGTCCTCTGCAGCTTTGCTTACAAAATAACTAGACAAGATAATGGCAATTGCAGATGTCATTATTGTCCTTGAGGACGGTAGAATTACAGCAAAAGATACGCCTGCGGCTTTGCTACAGAAAAATGGCTATATCAATAAGCTGGGATTGCAGCTAGACTCTGACAATGAAGAGGTTGATGAATCTGCCACCAGATCTGCAACTGCGCCCACAACGGAAGAAGTTTTCGAGATAGCAGCAGACATTGCTGTTGAGATGTCGGAAGAAATAGATGGCAAGCATACCGATATTCGACGCAAAAAAGGCGAGCTGTCTGTTTATGGTTATTATCTTGCTAGCTCTGGCTGGGGTGCTGTCATTCTATACAGCATTACTGTCTCGGGTTGGATTCTGTGCATTGAATTTTCAAGTGAGTTGTGCATTACGAAATCACATTGTTCTTACTATTAATCACAGTTCTAGCGGTCTGGATGAAATGGTGGTCTGATGCCAATAACGAGGAGCCCAACAAGGATGTTTGGATGTATTTGGGTATCTACGCCCTCTTTGCCGTAGTTGGCACATTGAGCGGTTTCATATGCGCCTGGTAACTATACCTCACTATTTGTTGCAATATCTGCATTACTCATAAGGTTTACCATAGGGCTGCTTTCATTAGCATCATCTCACGCTCGGCCGCACAGCTACATTCAAATCTACTACAAACGACCCTCAGGTGAGTAAAATGAGATATAATTAGCTACCTGCAAGATCATGAGTAACCATCAGTCAGGGCACCATTCTATTCTCGGTCGACCAGTAACCTTGGCGAACTGCTTAATAGGTGAGTATGTGGCGTGTTACATTCTCACTCTTGCTGATTCCATGTTTGAAGATTTAGCAGAGACCTGGAACTCGTAGATATGGAACTACCCAGTAACATGGTTAACTATAGCTCTAGTGAGTTCATTCTTCCCCCTTGTCCTTGACATACATTTAGCTAATGAGTTGTAGCCCTGGTTCAATGCATAGCCAAAGTCGTCATTATTTCTGTATTTACCCGATACCTGGGAGTAACAATCCCCTTCTTCGCCATCATTGTCTATTTTCTTCAGAGCTTCTATCTTCATACTTCGCGGCAGGTTCGACTACTTGCTATAGAAGCTCATGCGCCACTGTTTACTCATTTTAGCGAATCGATTGCAGGGGCAACGACCATTCGTGCCTTTGGATGGCAATCGTACCACCAAGAGCGCAACTATCGCCTCATTGACGCATCACAGAAACCGGTGTATATACAGAGCTGCATCAAGCACTGGCTTGGTTTCGTACTTGAGATGTTGACTACTGTGTTGGTTGCCTTGCTTGTCGCTACGGTCATTGTTTGGCGAGATAGCTTTAGCACTGGCAGCATCGGTGTCAGTCTGGTAACGGTTATCGGATTCAACGGAGTGCTGGGGCGGCTCGTAAAACAATGGACAGTCTTGGAACCCAGCATTGGCGCAGTATCTCGAATTAAACGCTTCACGGAGGAAACGGAGAAGGAAGAGCAGAACGAGAAGGCAGCTTACGTGCCTGCGACTTGGCCACAGGCTGGCGCCATCGAGTTCGCTGGCTGGACTGCATCTTACGGGTATACGCTCCTTCAATTTATTCCCCTTGAGAGAAGATAAGCTTGGCTAACCTTTAAGTCTAGCCTCACAACAAATTATAAGCCAGTGCTCAATGGTATAACACTATCAATCAAAGCTGGAGACCACGTTGCCATCTGTGGCCGAACAGGCAGCGGCAAGACTTCTCTAATTCTCTCTCTCTTGAAGATGGTTGAGATTGTTGAAGGCAGCATCTCGATAGACGGTGTAGACATATCGACTCTCTCCAATGCGGAAGTACGCTCACGCATAAACGTCGTGTCGCAAGATCCTTTCATTTTGCCAGGCTCGATACGCTTCAATGTCGATCCCCTGAACCATGCTTCTGATGAGGATATTACACAAGCACTTCGTCGTGTACGCCTATGGAGTATTGTCGAGGAGCAAGGGGGGATAGACAAAGAGATTGACTTGACTTCTTGGTCGGCTGGCCAGAAGCAGTTGTTGTGTTTTGCTCGAGCCATGGTGAAGAGAAGCAAGATTCTCATTCTAGATGAGGCAATGAGCAGGTAAGATAAGTCTGCTACGACTTTTCTTTTATCTCTCTTCATCTTCATTTGCTAATGGGTCATTATAGTGTCGATCATGAAGCAGAAGCAATCATGCAAGAGATTATTGACACGGACTTTAAAGAGTGCACAGTACTCGCCGTCATGCATCGCCTAGAGCACATTCGCCGTTATGACAAAGTTGCTCTTTTTGGAAATGGAAGGCTTTTGGAATACGACGATCCTGAAACGCTACTGGCTGGGGATACCAAGCTTGCAAAACTCTACTCATCTTATCGGAGTTAGAAATCACAAAGTTGTACTAGCATTTGCATCTCGCCAGCAGGCCAACATCACAGCTATCACATGTGACATTGAAAATGACATATGAGGAAAAATTAAGAAGAGATCTATTATCTTCGTTTCATCGTAACCATTGGCAGGAACACTCTTTATCTATTATATAGGTATTTCGGACACACTAAAGCAATATTATTTCTCAGCTCCTAGTTAAACAACATTTTATCAAAAACTCAGTCCCCCCATCTTGTCGCTGTGCGATCTCGGAGCTCACCCTGCAATTTTTTTTCGAATTGCCTGATTAGGCAAGCTTTTTTTGAGGCAGCCCCTCACCAATTTTGTGTTCCCCTTAAGAACCCATAATATAATAGAAAGAATCACCAAGCTCTCGTACACAAAGGCACTCTATCATTTTTAGGTCATCAAACAAACATACAATTAAGAATGTCCATCTGGATCTTTCCCGCCCTCTCTATCTAAAAGTATGTAGTACAAAAAAAGGCGATAATTTTGAGGAATCATTAGGGGCTATGTGGCGGGGGTGCATCAGCGGTAGAAGATCGTTTTATTTTATTTTCCTTCCATTTACTGGGAGAAGTAGTAGTTCTCGTCGGTGGTACGTCCTCGGATGTACTGGGGCTCGGTGCCGCGGACGTAGATGTCCTCGAACAGGATATCGGCCTTGGTCTCGGGGACGGGCATGGCCTCAGCGGCGGCAACCTCCTCAGCAACGTGGGTTCGGGCAGCCTTATCAAGGCCCTTCAGCTCCTCCTCAGTGCTGACCTCCCAGTCGAGGATCTTCTGCTTGAGTCCGGCAATGGGGTCGTTGGTGGAGCGCATGCGCTGAATCTCCTCACGGGTACGGTAGGTGGTACCGGGGTCAGACATGGAGTGACCACCATATCGGTAGGTGACGTATTCGAGAACCATGGGGCCCTTGTCAGCAACGGTCCAGTCCTTGCCGTACTTGACGGCAGCCTTGACGGCGAGGACGTCCATGCCGTTGACCTTGAGACCAGGGATGTACTGTCCACGCTTGTAGTAGTCGGTCAAAGCAGAGGAACGGGCAGCAGAGGTACCCATACCATACTTGTTGTCTATGGTGTGTTAGTTCCGTTCGGATAGATTAGAATGCATCTTTCAACTTACTCTCACAGCCGAACAGAGCAGGGAGGTTCCACAGCTTGGCCATGTTGAACGCCTCAAAAACCTGGCCCTGGTTGCTGGCACCATCACCATACAGGATGATGCTGGCGTTCTTTCGGCCCTCGTACTGGTGGGCAAAGGCCAGACCGGCACCGACGGGAACCTGAGCGCCGACAATACCGTTACCACCGTAGAAGTTCTTGGCGAACATGTGCATGGAACCACCCTTTCCGTAGGCAATACCCTCACGGCGACCAAGCAGCTCGCCAATGATAGATCGGACAGTACCGCCACGCATCAGGGCGAAACCGTGGCATCGGTAGGAGGTGATGATGTCGTCCTCCTTGGTGACAGCGTGCTCAATACCAACAGCAACAGCCTCCTGACCAGTAGACAGGTGGCAGAAACCGCGAATCTTCTTCTCCTTGTACAAACGGTCGGCAGCCATCTCCATCTGTCTGAGCGATTATTAGTATTTCCCGTGACAAAGCGGCTCCTGAGGCTCTCGTTGCACCGTACCTGATGGAAACCATGTCGTAGTACATCTGCTTCAGCTCCTTCTTGGTGACATCAATGGTGTAAGGGGGAGGGTCCAGCTCGTAGGTCTCGAAGCTCTCGTCGCTGAGAGTGACCCGGAAGGGCTCATCGTCGGACTGTGCGGGACAGCTGTTAGTCTCTGTTCAACGGTGTTCTTTCGCTAGCCATTGGTAGCCAAGAATATCCAATTCGTCCGCCCCATTCCTCGAAATTCCATGCCGCATCACAAAGAAAAGGCGCATCAGACATACCTTGGGCACCGACTGCGAGAGGGAAGCTGAAGCGGCATCGGTGGTGACGGCCCGGCTGGCGAGGGCAAAGGAGGCAGGGGCCCTGGCGCGCAGAGACGCAGCCCTGGGGACTCGGAGAGCTGCTCTGGAGAACATGGCGACGACTGGATGCGCCTCGCGGGAGTTCTGTGGAAGAGGTTGATGGATGAAGTTGGCAAAAGGGCTCTTGGAGCTGTTTAGGTTTGCGAAATTTGGCAATGTTGAGCATGGAGGTTTGATTGTTGGATCGCGCTAGGCTGCAACGGGGATAGGGCGGGATTAATTTGCGTGGGGCTCACGAAAAAAAATAGATGCGGCGTTTCAGCGATAAGCGATTGGGCCGCAGTTACTCCGACAATCCGGATTCTTCCTTGAAGTCTTTGATAGAGGGTAAAAGCTACCCTGGAGCCGGGTCACGCGCGCGCGTGATGGGACCCATAGGCGATGCGCCCGATCATTAACGCGTCTCTGCCTGCTCAACGCGTCATGCTAGCAGCTGGGCTGTACAGAAGCAGCTGTCGGTGCCTAGGCACCAGAACCACTAATTCACCAGCTCGACCTCGCTATAAATATTGCTCTGTTCACGCCTTTGCCCTTCTGAGATTTGCATCAACTCAATTGATTCGTCGCTGGCCATCTGCATCTACCGGTGCATCCTACAACATCATGGCTCCGAAACAGGCAACTCTGGGGTATGTGAAGCCGTCGCAGCAGACGATAGGGTGTGTGGTGGACTCGATTGACGCAGCATGTGACATGAGGCCGTGGTATGCTTGAGGTCGAGTTTGATTGCTAATTGTCGCGGGTATTCAGGAAATTCTTTGGGGCCAAGGCAGCTGCACCAGGAAGACAGACGACGCTGGCTTTTGCGACCAAGGCGGGGAGCAAAGAAGCAGACGAGGCTGAAGACGAGGATGATGCAAGCACAAAAGAGAACTCGGATCCAGAGAAGGGTAAGGCGTTTCGCCATTTTTCTGCTTTTGGCCGGAGCTTGATAATTGACTCGTGAGCAAAGATTCTAAAAAACGCCCACGGCCACCAAAAAAGAGCACGGAAGCAAAGCCCAAATTAGATGAAGAAGAAGAAGACGAGGCTCCAGTTTCAAAAAGAGCGAGGCGAACAAGGGTCAAGGTTGAGGATGACGAGGATGAAGCTCCTCAGTCGTCCCCAAAGAAAGAAGAAGCTCCGAGCAGTCCCCCTGCCAAAAGAAAGAGGTCACGGAGCCCCAAGTCAAGCCCAAAGCCGAGGTCGCAGTCGCCAAAGGCAGCCAAGATAAAGAAGGAGAGCGAGGATGTTGCTGAGAAAGCTGCAAAAGAGGAGGAGCAATCTTCAGAATCAGCATCGGAGGCTGATAGCGACGCGGAACCAAAGCCAGCTGTTGCTGCCAAAGCACGCAAAGCTCAGCAAACAATGCTCCAGAAGCAGGAGAAGGATGCATATCCTGATTGGCAGCCTGGCACCCCTGTACCATATGCAGCTCTTTGCAAGACCTTTTCGCTTATCGAGCTGACGACGAAACGGTTAATCATCATGGAGTATTGCTCAAAGTTCCTGCGTCAAGTCATGCGACTCACTCCTGATGATCTGCTGCCTACCGTCCTGCTCATGATCAACAAGCTGGCCCCGGATTACGCCGGCATTGAGCTTGGTATCGGTGAATCTCTCATCATGAAAGCTATCGGAGAAACTACCGGAAGAAGCCTTCAGGTTATCAAGGCTGATCAGAAAGAGATTGGTGACCTTGGTCTTGTGGCTGTGAAGAGCAGATCGACGCAACCAACCATGTTCAAGCCAAAAGCGCTGACAGTAAGAGGCGTCCATCAAGGCTTGATGAGCATTGCGACGGTCACTGGTAACGGCGCCCAGGGTCGCAAAGTTGACGGTATTAAGAAGCTTCTATCTTCTTCAGACTCTCATTTGAAGGAGAAGGTGGATATCAACAAGGACAAGGGCGGTCCAAGTGAAGCAAAGTATATTATCCGATTCTTGGAAGGCAAGCTTCGACTTGGCTTGGCAGACAGGACTGTTCTGGTTTCATTGGCTCAAGCCGTTGTAGCACATGAAGCTGAGGCGAGAGGGAAAATACCCACTACTGCAGATTTGGAAAATGGCGAGTCTACTCTCAAGACCGTTTACAGGTATGGACATGATCTTTTGTGATTCCTGCAGATATGAAACTAATAGATGACAGCGAACTACCAAGCTACGATGTCATTATTCCTGCCATGATGAAGCATGGCATCGCCAATCTGAGAGATCACTGCAAACTCCGACCTGGCGTGCCCCTGAAACCCATGTTGGCCAAACCAACAAAGGCTATTACAGAGGTTTTGGACCGATTTGAGGGCCAGAAATTCACGTGCGAATACAAATACGACGGTGAACGTGCTCAGATTCATTATGTGGCCAAAGATGCCGATCAAGATTTGGATGCATCTACCCAAGGATCGACTAAAAAAATTGATTCGGGTGTTGCCTGCATCTTCTCTCGAAACTCGGAAGATTTGTCCAAAAAGTACCCCGACGTTCTTGAGAAGCTCAGCGCATGGGTCAAGGAAGACACAAAGAGCTTCGTTCTCGACTGCGAGACTGTGGCTTGGGATGTGACTGAGAAGAAAGTATTGCCTTTCCAGCAACTCATGACTCGCAAGAGGAAGGATGTAAAGGCCGAAGATATCAAAGTCAAAGTTTGTGTCTTTGCCTTTGACCTGCTATATCTAAACGGAGAAGCAGTCGTGGAGAAGTCACTTCGCGAGCGCCGCGAACTCCTCAGCACTGCCTTCGTTCCGACTGAAGGCGAGTTTCAATTGGCAACTCACATGAACGGCCAAGAGCTGGATGAGATTCAGACATTCTTAGATGAGAGTGTCAAGGCATCTTGTGAGGGTCTGATGGTGAAGATGCTGGATGGAAAAGAAAGCGGGTACGAGCCCAGCAAGCGAAGTCGAAATTGGCTCAAGGTAAATAAGAGTGTCTATTAATTGCTCTACTCAACTCCAGCTAACACCAGATAAACAGGTTAAGAAGGATTATCTCTCTGGCGTTGGTGACTCTCTTGACCTGGTCGTCCTGGGAGCTTACTATGGCAAGGGTAAAAGGACATCAGTCTATGGCGCTTTCTTGCTAGCTTGCTACAACCCTTCTACCGATGTGTACGAGACGGTCTGCAACATCGGCACTGGCTTCTCGGAGCAAGTTCTCGAAGATCTCCATACCCAGCTCTCCGAAATTACAATTGCCCGCCCCAAGCCTTTCTATTCACATTCCGCAGGCGGGCAGCACCAACCTGATGTGTGGTTCGAGCCACGCTACGTCTGGGAAGTTAAGACGGCGGATTTGACACTGAGCCCTCGGTACAAGGCTGGATGGAAAGAAGGCGTAGACCCAGCAGGCGAGAAGGGCATCAGTCTGCGATTTCCCCGATTCATCAAGATTCGAGACGATAAAAAACCTAATGAAGCGACGAGTAGTAGGCAAGTTGCGGAGATGTACAGGAAACAGGAGAGCGTGACGAAGAATAAGGGTCCGTCAGTGGATGACGACTTTGAATATTAAGAGGAAAAATTAGACGGCTATCTATCTTTTTTGTCTATCAATACTGGGAAACGGATGGAGAATTGGATTTCATCTTTACGGACGGCTTGGTTGTGTATGAGTTATGAGATGCATTGATTTCTAGTGGTCGAGCACTATTATGTATTATGCAATATGCGCCAAATTCAGCTTTATTCATCATTACTATTGTCCAAAATTGAAATGTCGAATAGCTAATCCTCTATAAAGTGTAGAATACTGTTAGATATCGCAAAATGAAACCGTCCTACAAACTCCATATCCCTACTCTATAATATTGACCCCCTATCCGTGTCATCCGCATCATCCCCCGGCCGCAAAAGGCCTCTCTGCTCCTCATCACCTCCCTCGTCCATAATCCCGCTTTCTTGCTCTCTTATCCTGGCTCCGGTTCTAATAGGCGCAGAATAGTCGGCTGTTGTGCGCCGCGTTTCGTCCGCGCCATTGAGGACATACCAAATGTCCTTTTTCGTGAGCAGGCCCTGCAGGACACCACGGTCGGTGAAGAGCATGTACCGCAAGCCTAGTTTCTGGAAGTAGGATACGACGAGGTGCAAGCTCGTGCGAGAGGGCAGTGTCAGCGGGGTTTGGTCCATCCACGGCCGGAGATCGAGCGTCGTTCGAGGGTCTGCGAGGGGCTGGTGGGAGAAGTAGGCTTCGGTCTCCGGGGGAAGGCTGCGCGGAGACTTGGAGGCTGTTTTGAGATTGTAGCTTAGCTCTGCGCGGGAGATGTAGCCTAGGAGGATGGCGTCTCGGGGGTCGGAAATGACAGGAAAGCCGCGGTGGGGGTGCATCTCGAGGATGCTGTTGAGGGATGCGATTGTGTGTCCCGTGGCAGTGAGGACGATGAGGTCCTCGACGCGGGTCACGATGTCGGCGACGGGGACGTCGGGAATGGCCACTTCGGCGCTGTTATCGAGGAAGGGGTATTCGTTGAAGTGAATCCAGGACTCGTAGATGCCGCGGCGGGAGAAGGCGTCGCCAACCCATTTGGAGATCATGACGGCGATCATGATGGGCAAGACGTAAGTGAGGGCGCCGGTGAGCTCAAACATGATGACGACGATGGAGACGGTCATGCGAGTGACACCTGTGAGGGCCGCTGCTGCTCCGACAATGGCATAGGTAGCGGGCGTGACACATGGCGTGTCAGGAGCACAGGTTCTGAAGAGGAAGAAGCCGCGAGCGTTGTCCACCCAAATCTCCATCAATATGCCCATGGCACGACCGACCAAGGCGCCGATGGCCATGGACGGCAGGATGATGCCGGCGGGGATCTGGAGGCCAAAAGTGATGGTGGAAAGAAGGAAGCCGACAAGGGCGGCGAAAATGAGGAGGACAATGGTGCCGGCTGACGCTGCGCCGGTTTTGCACAGGCCAATCTGGTCGTCCAGGTTTTGGGAGCATTCGGTGAATAGATTGGACACGAGGTCTGAAGCTTGAAACTTCATGTAGTGGTTTGGATAGTTTACGAGGGCAGTGAGGAGGGCCACTGCCAGTACTTGAGTGATGGGGCCGGGGAGCCAAGATTTGGATTTTTTCCATCGAGCGACGGCCATGTTGGCTTTGATGAAGAGGCCGCCATAGACACCCTGTGTAGTCTGATTGTTAGCTACTCACACAGAGAGATGATCTTAAAAGAAGATAGACTTACGCCAATGATACCCAGTATGGCATACGGCAAGATCTCAAAGCCCTGCCAGTCGTGGCTATACTTTGTCTGGTACATGACCAGCTTGCCAGATCTAAAGGGGTCAAAGGCCTGAAGGATAACGGCAGCGGACATGGCGCAGACGAAGCTCTGCCACATGGTCTTGTCAGGGAAGAAGTATGAAATTTGCTATTTTCAGGAATTAGAAACACAGACGTCCCAACCGTTTTGGATTAATGAAATCTCTCACCTCAAGACTGAACAGCACCCCTCCAATAGGAGATCCAAAGGCAACCGAGATACCAGAAGCTGCTGCAGCTGAGAGTACTTCTCGTTTTCGTGCTATAACGGGATTAGCTGAATTTCAAAGAAAATTGAGTTTCGGCAAGTTCTCTACTTACCTTCATTGTTGTTAATATTGGAGAATAGCTTGATGAACACGTTTGCGCAGCAACATGCGACATGCACCAGGGGGCCTTCTTTTCCCAACCACATTCCCGACGACACGGCGAGAACCTGCCCAGAGTAAGCTTAACATTCATAAACATAGATTATAGACAATCTCACCAGACCAAAAGACTTTGTCACCAACGTCCAAGGACCCAGGAACTTGCGAATGACGAAACCGCCCAAGACGGTCTTGATCTCGGGGATACCGCTGTGCTTGGCATAGATGGCATATTCCTGCACGAGCAGTGCCGCACAGTACGCAAAGAGGACCCCGAAAGCCAAGAAGAAAAAGTACTCAATGAACCACTTGCCCGCAGCCGAGTGGATGCCAAGCGCCTCGCTCCAGAAGCGCCATCCCGCGCACTTGGAGCCCTGGTCGTAGCCGTAGCAGCAAAAGTTTTTATTCAAGTAAAAGTGCCCTCCCTCGGGCCCGCTCGCGCAGAAGCCCAGCTTGATGTCGCCCAGCCAGTCGGTGGTGATGTCGATGAGGGCCGCAATCACGCCCACCGCCAGGCCCGTCAGCAGCAGCACGATCCAGACCTGACTGGCGTCCAGCAGGTGGCGGATGTAGCTGACGATGCCGCCGCCCGAGCTCGACGACAGCACGCGCAGGCGCTGGCGCTCCTTGGTGTACTCGAAGATCCAGTCGATGGCCGTCAGGTCCTCGTAGGCGACTCGCCGCCCGGGGCCCTCGGCGTACCAGTCGTTGGGGAGGCCGTCTTTGGAGCTGGGGCGGGAGCTGCCAAAGACTTGGTCTCGCAGCGAGCCCGCGGCGCTGGCCAGCGATGCGAGCGAGGTGGAGTGCTGGTGGCCATGATTATTGCGATTGTTTGAGCGCGGGTGATGCGACTGTGGCGGCGACGAGGACGAGCCGGCGAGCGTCGAAAAGACTCGCAGCGGGTTCGACAGCAGCGCGGGCTTCTGCTTGCGCTTAAAGGACAGCGGCGTGCTGAGGTCGCCGTGGATGGGGTCGTGGTCGAGGATGTCGCGATCGTTATCGTCGTCGTCGCCGAGGAAGTCGAGCTCGTCGCGGTCGTCGGAGGATGCTGGAGTGACAATGACGGGCGTGTGCGATGACGACGAGGAAGGCTGGTGCTGCTCTCGCGGGCCGGCTCCAGACATGATGCGCCGCGGTCTATTCCATCGCCTCGGCCTGGGGATCCGAAACCAAAAATCCAATAGGCAGACGCTGTCGTTTTTGTATAGAGGCGCTCGAGACAGCTGAAACTAGGAGCAGCGCAAGGGCGGGTTTCTGGAGTGGATGGTGATTGGCTGGCGGGGCTCTGGCGTTTTGGTTTACAGCCACTTTATAGACATTTTATGAGGTTGATGGCTGTCGTGTCAATGACTTCGATGTTTCATTCTCACATCATATCCTAAATCATATTGCCTCTTTATACAAATCTGCGCACTTCAGGCTCAGTCCTTCTCCAACGTTCGACTCCATACAGACATCCTCTTGAACATTACAACGCATCATTCAGATTCCATTGCCTAAAGCTTATCCATCATCTGTTAAGAAACTTAAAAGATGGACTCACAAGAGGATAAACCCGGCCCAGCGTCTGCTGCAGCCGCCACCTCTCAGCAAGACGAAGCAAACATTTCCAAAATCGAATCTCTGGTCCAGGCGCAAGACGACACCCAGCGATTTGTGGGATTAGCGCTTCTCAAGTCCGTCCTGGACAACTCCCCCGAGCTCCAGCAGAACCATGGCGTTGTCCAAAGGCTATGGGATAGTCTCCCTGCCAAGTTCCTCGATAGGCTTCTGCGCACAGGGTCAGATCCATCGAAGAAGGATTCAAAAGAGATGCTCGGTTTGGCTGTGTCTGTTTTGCACACATTTGCCGTTTTTTTACCCGAAGGAGCAACGTCTCAGCCCAAGTTTACGGACAGGATACCCAGGCTTGTTAGTGCTGTGTTGAATGGGTAAGCCAGGCTTTCATATCAAATTCCACTGAATTTTTTTTAATTTTATTTTATTTTATTTTTTTATTTTTTTATTTTTTCATGTTTGCTAAGACGTTTGAATAGATCAGAAGAAACAGTAAATATGCTGTTACAGCTCCTCTATACTCTTGTGAGCTGTCAAGAAGGTGCCATGGCACTTGTGAGAATAGACGACTTGAGCTCCATCACCGAAATTGCGCCATCACACGCTATTGCAATGGACATTCTACTACACGCTTGGCTAAATGCCATGGTTGTTGTCGACGACGCCTCCTATCTAGCTAATCATATAGATCGCAATGTGCAGTCTCTTGTAGCTTCATTCCGAGGCACTGACGCCGTGACGCTTCTCGAGTTTCTGGGGCAGCTGCTGCGGCAAGCGAGCTCAGAGGTGAGCACTACCTACAAAAGGCATGATACGAATTATCTACTAAGCATTACTCAACTTTAGGTTATCCCAGCAAATCCCAAGTGGCTCGGTGCAGTCGTCAACTATGTTCGAAATCTTGTAACCAGTCGGCCAAACTCCGCAGCCCGGTCAGCCTACACAAACGCTGCCGCTTCTCTTCTTCGCGTCTATCCCAGTGCAGCTTCAGAATTAATATTCAAGGTTGAAAAAAGCGACGAAAAGCCATTTTCCTATTTATTCGTCAACCTTCTTCTAATTGATATCCGCTCTTCGGCACCCTTGTTGCTAGAGCAGCTCAACAAACCGGGATACTCAAATCTGTCTCGTCGACTCGCATCTGCATTTGACATTATATGCATCTTTATCGGGCATTTAGTCCGCTCGTTGGAAGATGAGTCTCTAGAGAGTCTCGTCATGTCGCCGGACAATCTTCTTAAACTCCGCAAGGGCATATCGGAGACTATGTCTGTAACCATTGAATACCTGCGTGACAGGTGGGATGCTACATACGCTGGTGCCATGGGACTACATCCAGACGCTCGATCTGGGAAGACGGAGACTTCAATGGGATCTCGGCTTACCCTCACATGGGACTCTTTGGAGAATATCGCAGATGAAGACCCCTTTATTCTTTCCGCTGTGAGGGCCCTCGCCCTGTGGCTGCGCGAAGACGAGAATGACATGTTGAGAAAAGAAGCTACTGGGTTGACGGATATGTTTATGGATCTGTACCGTGGCAGTGTGGCGGACAAGCTTGATTTTCGATCACCAACTTTGGTTGCCCTGGAAGCGTTGGTTCAGTTCGAAAAGGGCCGAAACATTCTTCTTCAGCATGATGGCTGGAAGACGCTTAGCCAAGACCTGTGTGAAATTCTCCGACAAAACAATGCCTCTGCTTCCAACATCAGCGAAAGTGAGACATCTCGCGGCATCGAAATCATCCGCGTTCTTCTCCAAGTGGCCGAGGAAAGCAACAGTACCAACGAGGAGTGGATGGACCTCGTTACGGCGGTCGCAGCGTGGGACGTGTTTCTCCCGCCGCAGGATTTCTCCCCTCCTCTAGTAGTCTTGGGGCTCCAGGTTGCAGCATTGCAGCTGTGCTGCGCGTTGTTGATTAAAGCGAGTATTGGAATGAGGAAGAGATTTGCGCATTCTGTTAGTGCGCTGGTGGGTATTGCGACGCAGTTGGGAAAGGAAATTCCCAGAGAGGGCGTTTTGAGAGAGGATATTGAAGATGTGTTGGAGGTTCTGGGCAACTTGTCGCAAAGTATATAAAAGTCACATGGTAGCATAAAAGCTTATGAGAAGTAATGAACCAAGTTCCAAGTTGAGATTCAATGCTTTTTTCTCTATACCGCTAATGACACACATATGTTTGTCCCCAGAATCCATCCTCCTCATCACCTCGCCTCGACAGCCCCCTGCCTTACAACCTCCCTCTCTGCAGCCATCGCAGCCATTGCCTTTGCCCTCTTCTTTTTTGCCCTGCGGATTTCAATCTCAACGTGCTCCATCTCGGCGTTAACAGAGACGAGTCTCGGGATGGCCTCTTGCACGGCCTGGATGGATAGCGTTTGAGCAGTTCGAAGGGGCTGAGGGGCCAAGAGACCGAACCAGTGCAGAGGGTTGTGAATCGGTTTCTTTGCCTTCTCTTCATCCTTTTTCTCTTGGTCAGTTTGCTGCTCTTCGGCGCTGTCTGCTGGTTTTTCCTGGGCATTGGTGATGTCTGCCGTTTCTTCCTTTTCTGTCTCTTCCTCTTTCAAGCTGTCGTTGCGTTTTTCAGCTTCCTCCTGCTTCTTATCATCGCCCGTAGCGCCATCAACAGGGTGATTCAGGTTCTTGATTGTAAAATTGGGTACATTGTCCTCTGCGAGCTCGATGTCCAACACTCTCAGAGCGCGCATCCTCTCATCGTAGTGGTCTTGGCCATATCTCATGCCCCGCTCGCCGGTAAAGTTGGCTCGGGCAATGTTTTGATAGACGCCGGTCTGAAGCTTCGTCAGCTCTTCCCGCAGGCGCGAATACTCGTCTATGAGGGACAAGTAGCGCTCTAGCAGGGAGTCAATATGTTGCTGTTCCATTTTTGAGTAGTTGTTGGCTGATGGATGGTTCATGAAGTTGGGAGATTGACGTCAGTGCGTAGCTCTTGAGGCTCTGAGCTATGGTGGGGTGAGCCGAGCTGAGCCACAGTATCCAATTTTCAATTGCTCTTCAGCTCTACACTACGGTGACTACCTACGCTCCAAACTAGATTGCAGTAAAGTAATGAAATTTGAATATGATTTTGTAAAACTTACATTGTGAGGCTAAGTAAGAGTAGGGATACTGGTGATTTAATACATATTACACCTGCAAATTCGGCTAGGGATGGAAACAAGTTGGGTAACAAAAGCTTCGTTGCCTCCGCACTAAAGCAGTCCTGCCTACCCTTGAATCCAAGCATTGAAAAGTCATTCAGTCAACATCACGTTGAAACTAGAACTAGCTATTCAAAACGCATCTTCTTCTAATGAATAGTACTGTAGACAAGAAATACATAGAATCTGAGCTCGGCTTATCAATTCCAATTTAGCAATAGCAAATTGCGGTTGAAGAAATGATAGGCCACTCAGTTACGACATACCATTTCAAGAGGATTTCTGGCCATGTAAACTTACCCAGGTTCATACTTTTAGGTATGAGATTGATAATAACCTTGGAAGCCTTGGAAGCCATTTCACTGGCAATTCCTCTATTGTTGCAATGCTTCGTACAATCCACGGAAAGCTTATGGAACACACCGCATCGACACAAAGCTCATCCTGGCAGTTGTGTAATCACGGGAATATGCATTGATCTTCCGCCGCCGTGCTTACGTCGTTACACCATTATGCAATCCCTCTTGTCCTCCCACTGTTTAACATGCTCTCACCGGTTTCGGTGAGCTGCAAGCGCAAACCGCAGCGTAGCACGACAGGCAATCCCGTGGGCGCTTCGCACATGGTCAGGTGCATATTTGCAATTCTGCGCTTCCCCTTCATTTTGCAATGTGCCGCTCCGTGCGAGGTGACGAGTAGTATTGAAGCGATGGCCCTATATTAGCTGGTAGGTACTAGTAGTAATACCATTGGTACTCGTGGTGATATGTAGTAGTAGTAGCAGTAGCGCAGGAAACAGTCGGATGATTGCCGCATGGTGCGTTTCGTATCGCGCTCTAGGAGATCACCTCTGATTGCCGACGCAGGACTAGATGAGCCGTACCGGGGGGAGAAGCTTCGCGAAACAAGCTTGTGGACAGCAATCGGGGAGAGGAACCGCTAGTGAGGTCGTCATTTTAATTTCAAGTACTGCCTACTTCTACTTACAGCGGCGCCAAGTTACGGAGCTCGATAGATTGATTTGATCCGTTTCAAGCGGGCAGATCGAGGACACGGGGACTAGAGAAGATGAAGAAGAAAAGCCACAACGGCGATTTTACCTGGTGGTGGAAATGAGCTCGCTAGAAAGGGAGAAAAAAGGAAGTAGTAGGTGTCTCTCGTTTAAGGAGGTTGCTCACGTGCACCTTTTAAAAATGCTAGGAATATGTCTGGGGCAAAAAAGAAGTCATCGTGAATACATGTCCATAGGCAGGGTCTTGGGTAGGGAGGCCTGGTACTGGCAGCATTAAAATAGCACACCTTGACCCTTTTTTGTCGTTTGTCGTTTGTTCCTTTTTCTGTTTGTAATAATGAATAATGGCACTGATGTTTCTTTTATCAGCGAGATGGCGACGTGAGACCAGAGATACGCGCGGCACAAAGAACACGATCTCTCTTCTGGTTTCGAGTTGATTTTCTTTCTCTCTCTAGTTGTCTCCTTTCTTTGCTGTGTCTTACAGTAAGTAGTCGTGATCCGGCTTGCATGAGCTGAAACTTTGGCCTGGCAGTAGCCGGTTTGGCAGATGGGCTTGCAAGGGGCAAAGAGCCACGCGGAAGACGCCCCGGATGCGTGATCCTGGCGATCAGCCTTTTTGGGGGATGTCTTTCTTGTTTCCTTTTCTCTGCGATTCTTTCGGCCCTTGGGGGCTGCAATGCAATGCGTCGAGTGGCGTTTAGACTGCAGCAGAAGGATTGCTGGAGCTGCGTGCTTTGGAACCCACGTCATCAAATGCAGAGTGAAATGTGATGGTACCTGCATAGGGGGCTTGACGAGGTGGTGGGAGTCATACTATTGATTCGTGAATAGGCATTGGAATGACTGCGTTGATGGTGATATACGTCATCTGAAGCCCTTTGCGATGCAAATCAAAGGGTGTTGTTGTATCGCTTTGTTCTGTTTGTTTCATGCAGATGCCTTTTGTATCTGATACCCGCCAGGAGCTAGGGGCTTTGGGTGGCCCAAGGGCGCTGGTATGGAGAATTGCCTGGTAGCCAGTACCTCCGCAGCGGATTTCGCATAGCATCTGGTGCAGCCCACCATTTCAATAGAGAGCTTGTACTTGAATGGCATCTATGAGATCAGAAGATGAACATTGCAACAATGCACAATGTTCACAGGCTTACCGAGCGCTGTGTAATATCAACAGCCAGTGGCATGTTGCATCCTGCTCTCTCTCCCAAATCGCCCTCTCTCCTGAAGTCATCAGCCAAGACGTCCGCAACAGGAAAGTAGACCATCGTCAACGAACCACCGCCCAGCCTCTTTGCCTGCCTCCCTGGCCTGGTCCGCCGTTGTCGCGCATTGAGGCAGCCCCCCCAATTCCTGCTGCTGCTGCTAGCCTGCTACGTACAGATTATGGCCCATCAAAAACCCCCTTCAGCCACCAGCCTGCCCGCATATTGTTACCTGTACTGCACGCGTCCAGAGTGGTCGAGATAAGATGCTCGCACATTAGGAAGCCGACGGCAGAGTACATGCTGCCGTTCTTGCAGAGAATAGGCACGCGAGGCTGCATTACACAGACTAGTAGTGCCTCTACCTAACTCCCAAGGCTCAACTCCCTTCATCTGCTGCGATGGCCTCCAGCGCTGGATTTGCGGTCCGCCGCTGGAGCCGCTGCGATAAAGAGGCAGCAAGTCAGGCGGGATCCCCCCACCAATCACCCTGCCTGCTTCACCGAGCCATCACCAACCCCGTCTCTTTTTTGCGAGTCTCTGTGCAAAGTACTGCCGTATCTCTCTCTGGCGCCCATCACCGCCCTTCTCCTGATTTGTCCTGTGTGATTTTGGCTGGACCACCAGCTGCTGTTTCTTGCCACAATTACTCGTAGTCTCAATGATATCAATGATACTGTGTACTGCTACTTGCTACTACTGCCTGCTAACGTCAAACTGCTATACCTGAACCTCGCTAGCAGATACCAAGCCCTCTAACTCCAGTCCTCTCTGCTGTCTGTACTCGGTGACGGTGGCTGCTCGCAGCTCCCAAGCCAAACAAGGCAAGGTCCGCTATAAGGGCTTCCAGCACTCCTCATCGCT